AGTGAGAGAGTGAGTGAGAGAGTGAGTGAGAGAGTGAGTGAGAGAGTGAGTGAGAGAGTGAGTGAGTGTGAGTGAGTGAGTGAGTGAGTGAGTGAGTGAGTGAGTGAGTGTGAGTGAGTGAGTGAGTTTAAATTGTGGGCTCTGGAGGACTGCCCCATGCTGCAGTGTGTAATGCAAGGGAAGCAATTTGGCTCAAAGTTGAGGCAAGAAAAATGTGGAGAGGGTTGGATAAGTGAATAAACTTACTTCCATTTTACACTAAACATAGAATTCATTCCTTCTCCTGTTTAACAAATAATTATGATAAAGAAATACACAGGCAAGGCGGCCAAGTACTTAGGATACTTTTTTAAAATAAAAATAGAAACAGAACACAAGGACAAGTACAACCACATCATGTGTATTTGATAGGCACTGGAAAGAAACATCTATGCTAACAAAAATAACTTTGTTTATATGCACTGTAAAAAATTTACCTAACTATACTCGCATATGTGTCCACAGCCAGTAGGACACTGCTTGTTATTTGCCCACCACTCTTGCATGTGGAATAGATGACCACCATGGGCACAACCTTGGCACCATGCATACAAGCCACGCACTACCTGGTGGCACACACTACATGCAGCACCTTCAGCACAGTGACACCGATCACACAACCAGCCAGCACGCAGGAGTGGTTTTCCACAACGAGCACAACAGGTGTGCACAGTTGTTGACTGTTGATTCAGCTGGGAAACACTTGGAACCCAAGCCAGCTGAATGACCTACGAAAAATTCAGGGTTATAATAAGTGAAACCTTCACATTACAACTCAGAATGAACTTATTGGCAATGCAATTAGTATTTAAAATAGTATTAGTATACATTGACATACGAGCATTTCTTAACATCTATTACACTATACATGCACATGTAATGGTGCTCAAGAACCTTATTTGAATAACAGTAAATTAATAAAATAAAATTGGTATTAAAGTGTGTCAATTTCTTACGCTTTAAGTGACACAAAGACACATTTTGTGGTCTTATGTGTTAAATGAGAAATGAACCCATCTTTATTAATAGAGATATCAAAGCAGATAGTTATTTTCCTTACAAGGACTCTGGTTCTGGTGGAAAACTCCAGCATGTTATGTCCATAAAATGACGACGTAACAAAAAGAACAAACTCCATTATAGATTTTTACTCTGATCTACTTGCATAAACACAAAATAAAATAATTTACCATTTAATTGTCTACTCATTTAACATATAAAGATAAATAAAGGTTTTACATTAAATAATTGGAAAAAAATTGATTTAACAGTTACTATTATAGTAAACATGATTTAAATAATTAATAATAAATTAATAATCCAGCCTACATTTTTAGAACTCAAGCACTAACTACAATGAAATCTGCTCTAGTAGCAACCTTAATTAAAAGAACAGCTCCATTAACAGCAATTTTTTTGTGAAACCAATTGATTTTTTTTATAAGATTACCACAAGAGGATTACTCAAACGTTCCACAAGAATTATATGACCTAATTTTTTTCAACACCACCGTTTCTCTTGATATTAACTTAAATCAGATACTGACATTACTTGGAACAATTTACACCACAAGAAAGGCTCTATTTTTACTTTCAACAGGACCTGGCAACTGCTCAAACTGCCATTCGATCCATGAACTTTTTAAATACTGTTTATGGAGATGATGACCCTTGTGGCTTTTTCCTTCGAGGGTATTTAAAATACCAGGTGTACACAGGTATTCCGCATTCCACAGAAGTGCTCCGTTGCTCTATTAAAGGGAAACCAGAATATATTTTCCGGAGGTGCCAAGAATGCATTCAAGCTGAAGAACACCGCTTTCAGCATCATTTTAAGGTAAGTTGAGTGCAGCTACACTGGGGGAGCACGCCCTCGTCTCCCCAGACAATGATGCCTGAATCTTCAGAGAACAATAACATGTACACCAAGTAGAAAAAGAGAAAAAGAGTTTCAGCTAGAAAACTTGTTGATATTTGTAAGTGCTGTGAATCAAATACAAAGTGAATCAAATACAAAAACAAAAGCACATTTTGTACTTAGAGAGGAAGATAAAACTAGATGAAAACTTGTTAAACAGACAACTAAGGTATTTTGGGAGTGAGTTAAATTCAGGCTTGAATAGATTTGTCTATATTTTATATTTGAAGTGTACTTTAATGATTAAAATGTGTTTTGTGATTCAAGGTAAGTGAAATGATAATACACTTTATTCAATAGGAATTAGCTCTATTTGACCTTATCTGTGCTTCCTGCAACCTTGTAGCCACAGCCACCTCTAATGACCAATTTCTGCTGGAACCGTTAGTGAAAAAAATTTTACATTGGCATCTTAAATTATAGCAGGTAACCTCTTTGTCTGGAATTTGAATATCTGATTTTTAAAACTCTTAGCTTCTTGAATCATTGAAAATGTTTTTTTGTTGTTGTTAAAATTACTCACACTTTCTCTTATACTAGTATCAACAGAATATGGGTTTTGATGGAAATACACATTTAAGTTGTGCCTGTACTGAAAAAAAAAAAAAAAGTTGATGTTTTGGTGTTTTATTTATTATGTTTCCCCCCCCCCCCTTATTTTCTTTTGTTTCTATGTCTTTACCACTGTACCTGTATAGACTAAATCGAACAAAGGATTTTACCCCAAAGAATATTTCCGTATTGATTTGGTCTAACTTGAGACCCTGAAAATTTGAAATGGATCTTTCAAATTTTGGAGGTACATGTTTACATGTTAACTTCAAGCACATTTTCAAATTTTCTGAATACTAGCTGTAAACTTTTTCTTTCAATTTTTTGCATGAAGCAAAATAACTTAAAAACTGCCCAGGTCCCCTTTTCAATAAAAAATTAAAATTTCAAAAAGTGTAAAGTTGACAATTTTTTGGACACCCCTCCTACAACTGCATTACTCAAGATATGCGTTTTTATTGAATTCTATTCTTAAAAACTAAATTTTTGATGTCAAACACAATGTTTTCAATATAGGATAAGCTTTTGTGTAATTCAGAGTTGAATCTTGAGAATTTTTTAAAAACATGTAAACAAAAATTTCTCAAAAATGGCTCAAAATTTAATTTTAAGACGAAAATTAAATTTACTGCTTCAATAGAACAAAATGTGCTTCTAAATATGATTTAGGTCTGATTTGCATAAAAATCTTGGAAATTTCAAAAAATCAATGTTATTTCTACTTTCCTGCATTTTAAACCAGGGCTACTCCACGAGCTACTGATTTCTTTCTCAATGCAAATTAGTGCTCATTATTTAATTATTTATATCATTTCTTGCACAGGTTTTTCAATATATCAGAAAATTCTGGATAATTTTGACTTAAATAGACTTGTGTTAGGTTCCGCTATCACTAGCATATTAAGAATCACTAGCATATCTGTGTGAGAACTCACATGTAAAATTCCATCCTCTAACCTTTCTTTCCTTTTTCATATTAAGAGGATAAGTTGTTAACGAAACAAATTTATTTGTTTAAACAATTTAAAAAGGTAACTTCCAATGTACTTGCAGAATATAAAATAAAGATCATTGAAATTGATATTTGAAACAAATTTTAAAGAAAGGTTTACTCAGTGTTATGGACGTGTTCTTAGAACAATTCACAACACTTCTGTAACCTATAAGAAGGTTATTAGGATGAAAGTAAAAACAATTTTGAGTTTGTTTTTTGTTCGTATTTATAAAAAGTATTACAAAAATCAAACTTCCTTTTTGGAGAAAAACGTCAGAACAATAGAGCAACTTTTGTGAAGGTAAAGACTTGTAACATACAACTTATTTGGGTTTTGGTATTTTCAAATAAACTGAAGAAAAGTGAGGTTTGTGTTCACAACCATAAAATAACTGCAATAAATAAACAAAAGAATCTTATAAACTTGTTTTATGCTACTGTATGATGAGCTTCTGTAGCTACAAGTGTAACTTCCACAAGGGGTTCAACACATTTTAGATATATTGTGGGGGACATTTCAGTTACTTCTTTTGTGTTTTCTTGTCCATTGGTAATTCATCATTATAGTATTCCCTTCCATCAAATCGAAAATCGTATCATGCCCTCTATTAGTAGTCACTCTTTTGTTACGTTCTCATATTGCAGTGGCAATTTGACCACGAAATGTCAGATATACAGAATTTTCATGGTGATTTTGAAGATCACAAGTATTTGGCTCTGCAGTGTATATGGAATGTACTCCCCACCCCCCACCCCCGTGTGGAACAACTATAAAGGAATACATTTTGATCAGTTTGATCTATGCCCTCCTTATGAGCTTTGTAGGGATGAAATAGTTTAGGCACTGGGATGCTAATTATCTTTCTACAGAACGCAAGAACTCTAGAAAATCTTTCTACAGAACGCAATGGTTGAACTGTGACAAAATTGGTGGCTATAGGAACAACACTGTTGTCATTGCATCAAACTGACCCTGAGCGAGCAAACTCCATGCTGAGATGGAACAAACTTCATACAATACTCTCTATTCTATTATAATTTTATCTATTGATATTAACTCTCTTTTCTCTTATTATTCCATTGGATTCCATCCCCATCTTTTTTAGGTAATGCAGTAGTTCAAAATTGAAAAACAGTTTATCAAAGATAATTTGACATGAATCTTGTGGAAGTTACTGGTTCACAAAGGTCATTACCATGTCGTAGTCCATACCTTGGATTCATTATCTTTACATACACCAGCTCCTTGGTTAGGTTTGAGCCGAAGTGTTTATCTACCACTTGTAATTCCATACCAAAATTTGTATCCGTGATTTTCCTTTTGTGAATTATTTGCAGCCGTATCTTCCAAGTACGGGACCATTGATTTATCGACAGAGTGGTACCGCACGTGAGACACACACATCACTTAGTGTAAACCGTAATGGGTTGATTCTTTACACACTGTATGATCTCTCTAAATTGTCCAAATCACAAAGTGTACTAACATTTAGTGGCCTTGCTGGTAAATAACCTACACTTGGATTTTCTTCAGCACCCTAATCTGTTACGTCATTGACGTTAGAGATAGGTGTAATGTTTCATCCACACCCCTTTTTGGTATTTCATCATAGTTTGTTTCGAAAATGTTAAAAAGTTCCAACAAAGTACACAGTTTCCTTAATGTATAAAATGACCACATATGATCCTGATGTCCTTCTGGAAGGATGGTTGAATATAACATTGAATAACAACTGACGAAAAACTTTAATAGTCATGTAACACTAAAAATAATGTAGTTTATTTCTTTAAGATGTTATATCAACAGTTTCAGAGTTATTGACGTCAAATGAAAGAACACATACATATTCATCAAGAACAGCAATAGTCACTTTGTCCACTGTAAAATTGCAATATTTTCAAAAAACAATTTCTCAATAACATAATGTAAATGATTGGGTAAAAATAATGGTGGTAGTATGTTTCTGAATTAATGTACTTTATATAAACATGTGTCATTGTCCCTAGTCACAAAAATATTACAAACTTTTTTTACTCTTGTGAAAGCTACTTAAAGTTGCCCATGTGAAAATACAGGATCGAGTAAGCATAACCCAACTCTTCGCAATATTATTTTACTTACGCAATACTTTATTACCAAACTGAGAGGTACACCCATGCAATTTAATCACCTAAAGGAATTCATTTCACATACAGTTGCAGATTCTATATATTACTGATTCTGCAGATTCTGTAGATACTGTAGGTTATATCACAAACTTTTCACAGAAACAAGAATGTCAATACTTACATTCGATAAGTGAACCGTTGCACTACACACACAAAAAGTTATCTTCATTGGTATTAAGCAACTATTAATACTTCTAGTTGCTGCAAAATCATTTAGGTTTATTTGCCTAATCTTGACTCAATGATTATGCAAATAAACCTCATCAACCAGCGCAAACAGTGTACGCAGAAAGCATACATAGAAGTTGGAAACATCTAAACCTTCTAAGTGTGACATCACAAACAAAGATTGCCTCCAGCGTTGAGTAATATAGTTGGTATTGGATAATACCAATAAGCACCGAACTAGCAAAAACTTAATAAAATGTCCAGGAATATTGAATCCAGTAGATTACAGCGTAAAAAATGCTTCTTAGAGGTCTTTGGCCAAAAAATTTGAAGTTTTGAGGCCGTAAAATGCTTCATTTAGGAGTTATTTAAGGATACAGATTAAAAAATCCTGACACCTGTTGCAGGTTGCATTAGTTATGAATATTTAGAAACATTTTTTAAAAAATAAATTCTTCAAATATTTTTCATCAAAGTGCAATTCGTTACATCTCAGTGAAATTCTCTTTCTTTAGAGATCTTATTTATCAAGATTAGTTTCGACTGAAATAATACAACTGAAATAATATAGGAGACGATTTGCAGGCATGTACACAGTTATTGTCATTGTTATTAATACTTTTGAAATTTCACACTTCTGAATTAAAGACATGTTATTTTTTTAAGTGTTACATGCTTAGTTAGGTTGACAGATGGATGAAATGCAAGTAGGAAATAAGTTACTATATTCTAATATTATGAAACCAAAACACACAATACAAGAAAGAATATGCTGCTGTAGCACTAGTTTAATTAATTTGTGGTTACTTCTTTAATTATTTTTATTTATTACTACTACAAGAGAAAGTAGATTCGATACTGGCTGAGTGGTGAAAGGTTTCTGTAACCAAGTATGGTTTCAAAACCACTTGAAAATCATCTGGCAAAACCCTAACAAGTTCTTAGAGGCAAAATCTAACCTGTGTAGCCACTTCCCAAAGTCTGTGTCGTGACAGAGTATCTAAGTATCCCAGCAGCCAATGTTCTTGTGTGGCCTCATCCAATGAGACCAGAGAGCGTCGGCGTTCTCCAAGAGCCAAGAGTACTGATGCTGATGTTTGTACATCACCCATAACTGCATGATGCTTTAGCATGTCCACCATGGTCTGGCTGGGATCCCAAGCCATGAGACGAGGCATAGATGTTACACAAAGCACAGATGTTGGCTGATCTTCAATAGATATTGTTTGAGTTTCTACAAACATAATTCAGAAAATTAAAAATTGTAAAATTTATTAAAAATAAGCTGGAAGGCCAATGGTTCCCTGAACATTTCCCTTTCCTCTGCCTGAAAAAGAGAGTTTTCAATTAAAACATTCTATTATTTAAAAGTGAGAGTATGCCACAAAAACTTGAGAACTATGAAGTGATTGCAACCAAATTTTCGGTGAATACTACTAAGCAGCCAAGAATCAAAAACAGCACAGCTGCAATTCAAAATGTTACACAAAAACGTGTGTGGGTTTTTGTTTATTTCATTAAATGCAATTCCCAAATTCATTTGGTTGCTATTGTTGCTGAGCCTTACAAGGTGACATGGGGTGACCTGATAGAGCAGGCAGAGCAGACAGATCTGGGAAAGGTGAGCAGAGCGAGTGTGGTGAAAGGTGCGGGGGCAGCGGAAGAAGAGTAAGGCCAGTGTGAAGCACAATGAGCAGAAAAAGCTAGAAAAGTTAGATGATGGAGCCAGCAGAGAGAAAAAGAGAGCCATGTGGAAGGAATGGGCGAAACAGAAACAGTGGGAGAGAGGTGGAGAGTGATGAGCAGGAGGAACAGGTAAGTGAGAAGGGTTTGATGGGCAAACAGGATTGATTGATTGTTAGCAATTTCAGGCATCTTAACTATGGAGCTCATTAGTCCCGTAAGTGAATTGCATGTTTTTGCTCAGGACGTGGTGGTGGTCTTCTCCTGCTGTATAGTGAGATCCGGCACCGACCTACCTTCGGCTAACAGGGTTTTCCTCAACCAGGTATCTCCCACCAGCTGGGCACAGCCCAAACCGCAACAATTTCAAAGCTCCTGACCGGTCTCCCGGCATGTGTGGTAATGTAGTACATGATAGTGTAAATGTGTAAGAGGTGAGGATAGGACAAGGAAGAGGTAGGAAAGATTGAACATGGTCCATGGCCTTTTGTTCGGTTCCAGTTCTCCCTGGTATTGATCAGTGAGAACTAAGGAAAACTACTGATCAGGCCTCTAGAATTCTCCTCCAGATAGTGACTGAATTTGACCTAGCTGACAAGCTAGTGTCGAAAATCATACCAAAGTCAGGACTTGAACCTAGGACCTCCTGCTCAGAGGGACTACAATGACTTCAGTTGATGTTCTGAGCCATCTCCCCCAGTGGCATTCAGGGAAGATGGATGAAGGGTGTGGGGCAGGTGAGGCTGCTTAACAGATGATTGTGATAAACAATTCTTGGACAACACACTGATTGTGGCTATATCAATTTTCTGTTGCTATATGTACAAATTTATAAAAACACCCACCCCTCTGGGTCTTTTGGGTGCTGATTGCCATTTCTTCACTTCACATTTTATGAAAAGGGACAGTGTAACAGAGTGGAGCAACAACTAAAATATTATTACTGAAATCTAGGTAGCTTGTCGTGAACCTATTAATATACAAAGGAAGTAATTTGGGTTGGCTGATAACGTGAAGAACATTACCTTTGTATTTTTAGAAAGAACTGTTGTAACACTAATATGGCAATAAAAAACCCACAGAAGGCACAAAGAATATTCATAGTTTAATTTCTTTATGAAGCAGTCAATAAATACTATTATATGTAAAGTGAAGCAAAAATCAGTTTAATTGCAACAACATCTTATTTGTAAAATTATGTCATTTGTTTAATACTAAACTGATTCCCTTTAGTAAGTTTCCATTTGAATTTAATCATAATGATTAATACATGTCCAGTACATTTTAAAATTTAATGAATATTTCTATTCACTGCTCTTTGAAAGCACACAATGGTAATTGTCGCTTGCATGTGCTTGGGAGTGACACGCTGTGGCAAAACAGAAAGTAGAAATTTCAAATATATTTCTTTTCTCAGAATCTTCTCGAAGATTTCAACAGCACAGAGAACAGAAAAATATTTTTTGGAAATTTTAAATTTGTGGGGTTACAGGAGAAATTTAACACATTAAAAAAATAACACAAAGAGGAGTTTAAAGAAAAATAATAAATTCAATTCAAGCATCACATGATAGAGCAACTGACTGATTTGACATGGAATGACAAATATGCATACCTGAAGACTGACAGTGAGCCATAAGCTAGGCAATGGCGCGCCTGTTAAGAACAGGCTTAACTAGAGTTAATGTAATGCAATTTGGTTATAACTTTTAGAATTAGAACATCTTACCATTATCATTCATGTCTGGAGATCCATGGTTGGGAAATTGTTCTGGGGGAGGAGATCTATCTTGAATTTCATGTCGCAAAGGAAATGCTTCACTCGGGAGAGTCCAGTCTTGCTGCATATCCAAAGCAGCATTAGTTCCCACAAAAACTCCCCCATTAAGACCAATTCTATCAAAGTCAATGCTCAAAGGATCCAGTTCTCCATCACCGAAGAGGAAGTCACCTTGGGCAGGAAACATCATTCCACCCACTAAGTGTCCAACGTGACCATTTAGGTGTTGCTCTGGGGTCTCATCAGTTTCAGTTTCATCATCACCACTCATTGGTGCACCAGGTGTGTCACCACCAGCTCCAAGAAGTGAGCGCTGATCTCCATCAATACCTGTCCCAGCGAGAGATTCTCCTCCTCCCCCTGTTCCGGCACCTGTAGTCCCAACACCTCCCACACCTCCACCTGGTACACTCTCATCCCGAGAAATATTTCCAGGAGGAGTGGGTTGATTGTATTCTCCAACTTTGTTAGAATATAGTGTCTTCACAATACTCCATATAAGGCTGACCTACAAACATAATATTCCAAGATTACATTCTTACAAGTATTTAAAGAAACCCAATTTCAAGGAATTCTAGATTCAAGGAATTTTATTTAGATAGTGATATTAACCATGCAGATAACTTTTGAAAATTAGGTCTTAAATTACGCTTTCAATATTTTTTTCATTTATAGGATTCTTTAAATTTGTGTGCCTTAACCCTGTTTGTGCCTGAATTAATTTTGCAGCATTGCACAAGGTCATAATCATTTAGCCAATGTCGTTGGGTCATTATTGGAGCTATCTGGCTACATCTGTAAGCAACATTAATTGTTACTAGCTTCTTTATATTTTACTACTAAAGTGCACCAATCGTTGGTTATATGAGCAATTGTTTTCTATAAAAAGTAGCAAAACCATTAGATCGGCTGCATATGCCTTCAACTTTGGTTTGGAGCAATGAACCTCAGGCTTAAAGCAGCCAACTGTGGTTTTGGAAACAGATTTGAACCAACATAAATCATGAATACGCCACGGCCAACAGCAAAGCTTTGGTATGATTTGAACCAAGAACAAAGGTTGAAGTTAACTGTTCCATTTTTGGAATGCTGGACATAAATAGGTTTTAGAAAGGAACTGCATTAAATCAAATACAACAAAATATAACAAACTAAATTCTGTTGAACAAAGGAAGAAAAACAACATAATCAGTGTACAAAAGTGCAAAAGAAGTATGGACTGTTCAAACCAGCTCAAAAAAATTAGTATGGTCTCTATCAATATCAGAGAAAATGAAATACATTAAATTAATATTTGATGAAGAAATACATTTCTACCAATAAGTTACCTCTAAATACTGAATTCACTTCACACTAAAGGAAATAAAACTAGGAAGTATATAATGCATTGTGTAAAATGTATTCAATTAAAAAAAACACCCCCCCCCCCAAAAAAGCAATGAAAATATATTTAAATACTAATATTAAATACAGTCAACTCCAGTTATAGTGAACTTCCGGGAAGGAACACTTTTGGTTCACTATACACGATGATGTCAAAATTAAATAGAATTTCTCCATAATGATTGATTTTATTAATATAGAGATAAAGCAAAATATATTAACAGCACAAACTGAAAATTTCAGTATCTTAATTTGTCTTAAAAAATTTATTTTCCATCGTTTGCTTCGTAGTTTTTCATTAGTAATTTCTCTAGATCCTTCTCTATACTTGATTCTGCATTGTTCTCTGAATCTATGTATCGCAATGGAGTCTTCACACTCTTCAATGCCTCTTGCACTGTTGGAATACTGTTCCACTGCCAGTTGTATCCCACGCAGGACACAGCCTTTGTTTCCCTAGTGAAACTGAATGGTATAAGATAATCATTCTGGTGCCTGTTCCCTACCTTTGATGGCGGCAATGGTGTCACGGTTAGCGTATCTGTCTGTTACACCAAAGTTTACAGGGTCAAATCTGATCAAAGCTATGGATTTTTAAGGGTGAAAAAGTCCTTTGTACTCCTTCCTTCGGATGGGAAGTAAAGCTGGCGGTCCCATGTTAGTAGATTTACAGCAAGTAAAAGAACCTCAACTCTAAATGAAACCTCTGAGCTAAATTCAAATCGCCTGACTGATACCTCCTTTCTCTGCTAGTTGGTGAAAGGAGCATAGAGAAAATTTGCATGGTCAGATGGAAGAGCAGGCCTCATGGCCTGAGTCTCACCGCATAAAATAAGGAATCAATTTAGTTCAATTCACCTCAGAGGAGACTTCTTCGATTATGACCTTTGGCTGACAATATTTTTTTCAAGCTGCCTACTGTCGAAATTTGTAGCACTGAGGCAATACGCTATTTTCAAGGTGGAAATTAATTTCCAGGATATTGTATTTCCTACATTCACTTAGTCAAGATTCAGGTTCGCTATAATCAAATCTTCTATTGCTTATTTGTAATGTAAGTGAAATGGGATGAGTGCCTCAAGTTCATTATAACCAAGGGTTCAGTATATCTGAGTACACTACAACTTTGGGATGTTGCAAGTAAATATGAAGAATCATAGGTATTATTAAAAATGGAAATCTTGGTGCTATTAAGTGCGCTTTTCAGGTATATCATGAAATCTAGTCATCCTCTAAATTTGTGAGAACTGATTAGTAGGTACCTACTATCCACAACATAATATCCCTTTTGAAAAAAATATTCCTTGCATGTTCAAAACTGTTATTGATGGTACGGTGGACATTTTCCGACACTGATATAAGGAATCTGGTACTATTAACTTTGTGTTGGCATCAGCACCAAGATAGACTTTCTGACTGAACAAAAACCTGCTTTAAGCATTTCAGGACTCTGAATTAGATTTAGTAATATTTGCTTCCTTGAAAAAAATTTGAGTTTTCTTTATAGATCATATTTGTACAAAATCCTACCCTCTTTGCAGAATTCCATTACAAAAGAAAACTTAGTAACGTAGTATGATTAAGTAATAAACAGAAGAAAAAAATGTTGTAATGTGCAAAACAGAACCTGCAAAACTGTGAAAAGCCTTGGATTCAAAAAAGCCATCTGGCTGGTCACCCTGGTGCTGGGGTGATGGAAATTGTGTTTTATTGCTGGAAAAATTACATTGAATTGCGAACAATATAAAACCAATATGAACATTTCGTTGATGTACCTTATAGAAAAATTTAAACAAAAGAAGTCTGTGACATGTCTGTTGTGTAGTTAATCTGTTTTTGAAAAGACATTGTTTTACTGAGAATAGAACTAAAGGCAAACCTGTACGGAATGCATATTTGAAATCCGAACAAAAGACACCCTACTCTTAACTAACTTTTTAATGCGAGTTGTTCTTTTAGAATTTAATTAATTGATAGTGAAGGAATATAATTACATAATAGTAGTCTTTTTAATAATACATACCGATAGTAATATACTATGAACTATGTTGCCGAAATTGTAATTTTAATACTTTAGAAAATGTATCTCTCTTAATTTTCTGATGCTATATAGTTAGTGGCAAAATAGTAGGCCAATTACTAAACAATTTAGCAAACACTTCAACAATTTCTGAAAATCTCATTTGAGCGAAACAATGAAAGTTTGACAATAGTTTCACTATATCTGAGTTCACTATAACTGGATTTGATTATACATTAATATCAAGTCAAATGGTCTGACATGCTTAGGTTTTATGATTTTTTGAATTAATTTTTGATATAGAATCCTACATGAGACATTGTGAGATCATTACAAATATTTCAATTTCACTGCTATTCAAATAAAAATTTAACACTATTTTTTCAAATCTAACTCACGTGCTGTCTCTTGAGATCCTTTGCAACAGCTGCATTATGGTCACAAATGTCAGCTAGTGAGCGTCCGGTAAGAATGTAACGACTAGCACATTCTCGAAACCAATAAGTTTCCTTAGGCTCCTTACATGTAAACTGTTGCATGTTGCTCAATGCCTGACAAAACTGCTCACTGTGAGACGGTTGTGCTGCTCCTTTCCTGCCGACCCCAAATGATTATTTGGATTCCTTAAGGTCAAAATGCATAAGCCCCATTAGCTTAAAGACAAATTTACACTACAATTTTATTTCATGACTTATTGCAACAAATCAAAAAACATAGTAATTTCACCTCAAAAGGTTAGAAAATTTAGCAGATCGTGATGGATTGATGTTTACCCTGCATGCATATGCAACATCTCCTCGACAATTTAAGCCAATTCCTTGAGGATTTGCTTTACTGGCAGGTCTTGAAGCATCTTGAAATACATGATGGTATAATGTACTATCCTGCAATACACATATGCAGCCGATGCTTAAGAGTACAATTTTAAAACAAAGTGTCTCGCGTCTGGCAAGGAAACTTCACACTTAATGAATAGTAAATACTTGAAAGCAAAAAGTGAAAGAAGAAACCAAGTTATTTTTCTAAATAGAAGAACAATTTAATTATTTAATACGATTTTGAATAACATTTGTAAAACAAATAAATCAATCAAAATTTGCCCGATAATTGTTATGGTTTGTCAACATAAATATTCAAAATTAATTTTGGTTCAATATCAAGAATATCTTTATAAGGTAAAAAGTATTTCATGATATTTGAAACCTGTTTGAAAGAAAGAAACACTGAGCATAAAGGGAAGGAAAACAAAAACAACTGATGTGCTAAGAACTGTTTCTCCAAATTAATAAATACATTTAATAGTAATCGAGACTAAAATATATGAGAATAGTAAATTATTTCACATAAATAAACATTAACCATACAAATAAATTGCATTCTAATACAGATGGGACAAACATGAACAGATATCACAAATTACATTTTTTAAATAAAACTGTCTAATTGAAATATTAAAAAACGATCATTGGCGACTTAAATACACAACACCAATGCCATTGACCCTTGAAAAAAAAAAAACATACATCAGAAATGATATGTATTTGCAAAACACAATCCAAAATGTCTTTTAAATATCACTTACCCTGCTGGTTGAGAGAAATGTATGCGGATTGCCCCGCCATGAAATTCCTGTTGCAACATCTTTGTGTTCATTGAATGCTGCAAACGGAATATAAGGGCGACGCACATCCCACACATTAACACTACAATCAACAACCAAAGCACAACTAGCAATGTGGTATTTCCTTTGAGGTCGCCATTTAATGTGACCTACTGATGCAATGGTATGAATTGTATATTCTAAAGATGGTTTCACAGAAAGGTCCCACACCTACAAAAGAATTTAAAATATATAAATGTATTTGTGATTTACCTTCTAGGATCATACTCTTGCGACACACACACAGATGCATAATCTTTTAATAATTTCTGGCTCAGTGTTCAATGCAGACTTTAAATCCAATGTATTAAAAGGAACTTGAAATTTGACATTAATATTTGGTTTGACATCACTTTGTAATGGACATGTGAATGTAATCATACTTATGCAGAATCTATTTTCTTATTGATTTCAACTTGGTGTTTCCCTATTAATTTATAAAGAGAACTTCTGCTTATGTTATATTACAAAGTTTATAATCTTACAAAATAAGGTGCAAAGAAAGCAAAAATATGCAGATAAACAATTATTTAGAGAAAAAAGAGAAGTGTACAATATCATAGTAAAATTTTATATCAATTACTGAAATGTAAAATGAATAGTTACAAAATTTAAGAAAACAAACAACACAAACCTAATTTTTGATTCACAAAACTTTCTCAACACTTTAGCCAGATGGTTCATTAATAAAGAAAACAAATGTAAATTAACAATCTTTAAACATAAAATGACTTAATATCAATATTAACATTAAGTTATGAATCCTCTTCAAACTAAATACATAAATATTATGAATGTGATTCCTGAAAATTAAGATAGTTAATAACTAATTCCTAAGTGTTTCAATGTGAACCAATGGATGACAACAGGAATAATGTTGAGAGCTTTCCCTCCATATTTGAACAATTCTTGCAATAAGTGAAAAGTCTGAATAATGTGTAAAGTATTTTCTCCAAACATTTCTGATGAGAATATTTAGAAACAAAGCAATACAATGGTGTCTATTATGGATGTGTCTGGCAGGATGAGGGATTCCCTCAATATTTTCAAGTATATCTAGAAGTATTTTAATTTTATTGTTTTAATTATTTCAGAATAATGTATTACAGCAATGTCAGTAAAATTCAAATTGTGAAATGCTAACTTGGTTCACACAAAATGTTTTGCCATGCTTCATTAGTCTGAAGTTTTGCTATGGGCAAGAAATATCATGAAGATGCTCCCGATTTGGCGGGAATATATATGGCCAATCTACATGCTCACATCTAACAGAGAGGAGCACCCTAATCATATTTACACTAATGATCTAACTGAGGCTGCTGCCATTGTCTCTGTGACGACGGTCATTTTCTAGTCCCCCCCCCCCCTCCAAAATATAATCCAGTGGGTAAAACCCATTACAGGATTTATGTGTAAGTTACATATAATTGATGGCAATAACATACTCTAGAGCTTATATATTTATATATAATTTTGATTTATACATAAAGTGATTGCTAAGCAGTATAATGGGCAATAAGTCCTGGACGGATGGTAAGCAAACGAAAATTACACCTGATCAAAAATACAGGGACAATTAGAAACCTGTTTTAATAATTTTAATCAGAAAGACAATCATTGCAAATTATCTTTACAGAGCAAACTTTGTAAATGAATTTTATTGAGTAGGTGACTGTTAGTGATTCTCCTCTGTGGATATATGCCACCATGATGAAACTAAATATTTTTAAAATCTTCTTTGACATATTTCCAGTGCATTACTAAGATTTTTCTTGTTTGGGGACCAGATAACAGATGCATATTCTAATTTTGAGCTGACAAGAGAGCGAAATAAGATTTGAAGGATGTTCATAGATTTAATTTTACTTACTAAACTAATTAAAAAACTCAATGACTTATTAACATTATAAATTACATACTCAATACGTGATTTGAATGTAAATTTATAATTAAACATCACTCTGAGGTCTTTCTTAATATTCACAGTATTCTGTGTCATTATCTATACAATAATTAAATTCTATCCTCTGAGATCAACAATATGCATAGCTATGCATTTTTTAAAAATTAAGTTTAAGTTTATGTGAACTATATAAATTAAATAATAAGTCTAGATTTTGCTGTAACAATCATTAGAGGAAATTGGAAGTCACAATATCATATCATCAGAATACATTGAAAGAAAATATGAAAAATTGCCATCAAATTCATTTACGATATTGCAAATTAAAATAGTCCAAGATTTTAACCTTGTGGGATACCTGTAGGCGATGGAAGTTAACAATTAAAAATTCGCATAATGTAAAATTGTCAGAATATATTATAGAATCCACAAATACTAACACATCTTTTTTAATCTACAAAGGTAACCTTGCCAACTTCCTAAAAATGAATACAAAATTCTCAACTTCAACTAAAATTTCATGGAAGAATACATATACAATTGCTTGGAGGTCCACCTCAAGTTTTATGTGCGTGTGATCCCCATGGTGTCAATGGAAGCTATCTAGATTTTACAAAAACAAGTATAACAGAAAGATCTCCAGAGCAGAAAAGTATTTCCTAGACCTTGAAAAAAATGCAATCATTCAAATAAGGAATTATTTTAGTTACAATTAAAAACATATAAATCATTTCAATAAAATCTTGCAAACTGTGGAACCTAAAGATAATACAGGATAAGATTTCATGATGAGGTACAAGGGTTGTTACAAACTATGTATTTTTTTTGCAAGGCTGGCTGACAGGTTTCAATCAAAAATGTCTAATATACTTGTGCTATGATTTGTAGATCCAAATTTAATATTTCCACTTTAATTAATTTATGATAGAATTCAACATCTACTTTCAAAATCACTCATTAAAATGCCATTCACAGCACTGTGCCAATAAATGTATATAAACTAGTATTGCTACAAGAGCTCAACCTTCTCAAATTATTTGTAAATTTTTGAATAGTCAGAGTTCAATGGAAATTGGACTAGGATCATTTTTATAAGCATACTCCACACTGATCCAATTGAGAAAAATCTTGTTTTTAAAACTGCCTCTATTACAACCAAAATGACAACTACTCACATATTAAAAAAGTTATGCATGACCTCATTTACAGTTCTAATTTTGAAAAACTGATTTTATTCAGAAGAAAATTCTATCTTAAATATTATAAATGTAGGAAGATGCAGAAAAATGTTTAAACTTTTGCAAATATAAACATTCATCATATTCAACGAAAATTGGACCTTTAAGCATACTTCTCTCTATCTAATAAAATGTCCTTGAGGTTTAGTGCAACATTTCCTCAAAAATTAAAACAATCACTTCAAATTCAAAGGTTCATGTCATCTAGATCAAATAGGGAATATCAATTTTGGTAAAAATTCTACTTATAGCTTAGCTGCTAGTGATGTCCACAGACTAACCTTTTTAATGAAAATTCATTTTTCAGTATCAAGGCCCCAAAAAATGTGGATTCTGATTACACAACATGTTATAAGGAACAAGAATCATCTTTTCGAGCATCAGGAGACTAAAATAGAATTTTTCTGCCAAAAATCACCATTTTTCGCAGCAGCTTATAATAACATTATCTACACTTTGTATGTAGTATGTGAGAAAGTAAAACTTCTTCCTAGAGAGGAAGAAAATAAATTAAAAAATGCAAATTGAACCATTTCTCCAGTAGGGAAAAAGAAAAGAAAAGGAAAAAGAAGAAGGGGAAAAAAGGGAATAAAGAAAAGAAAAAAAGATAAGAAAGTCTCAAAATATGATGGAAAAACAATGACTAAAAAAGTCGACCAGAACTGACAGCAATAGAAAATTGGTATAGAAGAGAATGGCAGAAGATTGTGAAACATACCAAGATTTGTACAGAGATTGTAGTTCAAGACAATTAGTGAGCTTGTCTATAAACATCATCTTTGCCTTCCCTTCTGAAGGTCTGTCTATTTCACAGCAGGCCAACATTTTAGACGCCAAATTTAATCATTTTATTATTAAACAAAAATCCATTGTAATATAATCATCAATTTCTGCAATTGATAGTTATAGGACAAATGATAGTACATAATGCTGAAGGTTGACTACATTTATGGTTTCAAAATATGGAATTTTCTAATCTAGAAGATTGATAATTAAATTTCCTTTCCATCTGAACTTCATTTTTCTTCAATTCCCCGTTAACTTATCCTACTGCTGTCAGGCAGAAATTGAGATCCTGATTTACAGATTCCAAATTTTATTCAAAACTCTTATCTTAAATATTAAACAAACCAATTGCTTCTCTTCTGAAATTCTCTTTACAGAGATCAAACTGCTACCTTCCTAAACAAATCCTTTTGTTTTTTAAATTTATTAATTTATAATTAACATCAAAAACAGTGAAAAACTGTGCGACATACTATAGGGAGAAGTGAATTCTGAGCATATTTTATTACTTTCTCGTACGCATACATATATATACGGAGTAATATATGTGGTACAGAAAGAGTTATGTAATGTGTAAAATCAATTTCGAGATTTCAATGAAAGTACAAGTTTTCGGGTTCCCTGACACCCAAAAATTATGATTTTTTTTCAAAATGCCTGGTGTATGAGAACAACACTAGCGCCTACACTATGCATAGGATATTTTCCAAATTCAAGAAAACCCTGACATTTGGCCTCAGTCAAAGCTCTGTGACTTTGAAAACCATTAATTAATTTTTAGGGGTACTTTTGAAGAAGCCTTTGGAACAATTTCAAAATTTTCTTAAAAATGGCTCAAAATTTTTTCTTTAAATTTCTTGTCAGATTAGAGTTAAAAAAAATGTGGTATAGGTCTATTTTTCACAGTCAACTATGAATTTTCGAAAATTGTAAAAATATGAATTTTTTTCATCAACTTCCTACAAATACATTATTGAAGAGCGATTTTTCCTTTTTAAAAGAAATTCGTTGTTCACGGTTAGTTCTTTCATTATGGTGATGCACATTTTTTAAAACTTTTAATAGCTATTGCGTGCAATACGAGCAATTTTAAAAAATTGCAAGAATGTTTAAAAATTACTTCCAATTTTTTCTTTGGACTTAAGGTGATTGGCATAAACGTAGTGATGTAGGTGATTAGGTAGGTACGTGATTGACATAAACGTCCCATATTGCTCTATTTTTTGTATTTTTAAAAATTACAATTTTTTAAATACTTGTTTCAAGTCTTTAATATTTCATTGCCAGGAATTTGTTCGCATTATTGCATTTACGAGTGCTTGGGTTTTAAATGAGGTCATATAAAGTTTCTCAAAAACTCAGAAGTTTTCTGTGAAAACAAGCTCAAATTTCTGCATTTTCAGAAATGCTCCAACACCATTTTCTCAAAAAACAGCTCCAAATTTTTGTTCAAACTTTTCGTACAGATAGTGCTAATTGCACCCATTAAGATGACAAAAATAATTGTGCTGTATTCTTTTGTTTTATCAAAAAATACACAAATGAAATTTTTTTTAAAAAAAATCTCTAAAGCTGTTAATATGCACATTTCAAGGGGTTTGTATGCATTAGTGCACTTGTTACACTTCACATGACTTCAAATGAAGTTTATCCAAAACTAACGCATTCTGTGAAAAAGAGCTTTGAATATAGCATCTACATTAACACTTAAACGTCATTCATAAAAACGGTTCCAAATTCAAAACAAAATTGTCATTTATGACTACAGTTTAGTCTTCTTTAATATTCTTAAAATAATATTACAGTTCTATTCAAAAACAGGAACATTGAGAAAATTTAAAAAAAAAAGTACTTTGACAATAGATGGCCGCTGGCAAGAGTATGTGGCAAGTCAGAATAGCTAGCCCAAGCCAAAGAAAATATACTAATACAAGAAGTTCTATGCCATTATGTAGAACCAATTCTGGGATCTCTAGCCTAATCCACATACTACATTTTGAATTCTGAATACACATGAAAATGAGCATTTTTGGAATGTATGTGAAAATGAAAGAATGAATGTGAAAAATCTTCAAAAGCGACATTTCGGCTATTATCCTTCATTGTGACCTTTGTGAATGAATATACAATAATTTGAATAACTATATTTCCAACAGGAACTCTAAAAAACATGCACAAATAGTGAAATTATATTTATGTCCAGAAGCAAGCAATGGGACCATCTCAGCATTCACTCAAAGGATCAGGGAACTGGACAAAAACCTTGGCTGTGATGGGGGTCATTGACCCAGAAACTAAGGTACAGTTCTTGTTACAGGTTGATTAGAATTATACATCCAAATGTTATTTGTGCATATCATTGCTAAAATTAATATTGCTTTCCTTTTTGGTGCTCAATACTGTCTCTTAGTCGTTGAAATAGTTATGCAGCAGAAAATATTCAAGAACATATTCATAAATTATTAACATAACATATTCATAATTTTCATTTATGAACATGTTCTTGAATATTTTCTGCTGCATAACTATTTCAACAACTAAGAGACAGTATTAGAAACCCTACATTCACCAGACAGACCTTTATGGTTTTATCTCGACTAGCTGTTGCAATCCAAGGTACTTCAGGATGCCAATCACAAGCAAATACTGGACCACTATGAGCAGTGAACTGATGATAGCAACGATCTGATCGTCGCAAATCCCATAACTGTACATTTCCATTTTCAGATACAGCAGCAAAAGCATTATGTTGATGAGGGCTGAACTGCACATCTCGAACACTTTCTGTATTACTAAAAATTTAACATGAATACACATTTTTTAATAAGGATTAATATTGTTTAAAAACTGAAATAATTAATCATGATATAAAGATTTTAGTACATTGGGAGAATAGCTGACCCCCCCCCCCCCCCCAAGTCCAAGGCCCTCTGTAGTTAAAATAATATGCCATTACAGAAATTAATTAATATAGAAGTATTAATTCTTTCCTGCTGAATATCCTTTCTGAATTCAAAAGTTTTATAACCAAAGCAATTTGACACCAAGCAATCCAGGGCACATGGTTGCACATCACTACCAGATGGTGTGAGGTAATACGGCAAGTTGGCAAGTACATTTTACCTGGAAAAGGGTCATATAAACTTTTCTTTTGGGTATGTTTTATGTACCCCGGCACTAGTTAAAACCCCAAGTTTTCAACATCCTAGACTCTGTGCAAACTCCAGGAGGCTGAAAAAGAGTATTTTTCTGACTTTTCTTTTCTCTCTATAACACCTTTCCTTAATTCCTCGGGAAAAAAAGAATAAAATTAGTTTTAAAGAGGATAATATTTTCTTAAACCTTTTTTAGTAAACATTTCTTTTGGAACCATTTACGAAGCAAGCTGTAGCATTTTCATTGATCAAAAATGTGTGCAAAATACACTTAAATGTTATTATAATAAACTTACAATAAATATAATTATTATTGCATGTAATATTATTATTTATCTCGCCATCAATGTAAACACTGCCTTGCAAATGCATAATTAACAAAAATCTTAATGTTAAAAAAATTGATAGATATGTACATGCGTGTGTTCATGTTCCAGCTTAACTCTTCAACAATTGAGGAACAATTATATTTCAACAAAACTTAGGGTACAATATTATTGAGTAATTACAATGAGGAAAATAATACTGAGTGGGTAAAACAACCCTGGAGGTAGGGATAGGAAGGGAGTGACATTTACAAACAAAAGCTCTATGCAACTGCAATGTACATGCCATGCAGTGACGGATTAAACACCACATTAAATTCATTCATCTCTACAACATAATAAGAAAAGGTTCAGCTTCCTCCTGAGAAAAATTTTGAATGATTAATGAAATGTTATTTCCAGAGCCAACAAATTTAGGGAAATTGACACACGAATGCAAAGATCTACGCTCGCCCAGGGCAGAGCACTTCCGTCCAGATTTCTGAAGCTTCATGCTTCAGTGCATTATTTGATTATATGAAGTAAGGGTTCTTGGGGTGCATTTTATATTATTATAATCGGGCACAAATGAACTAAATGTCCTGCCCCAATCCCAAGGATAATTTTCTTTCCTCTAACTTGACTTTATGGTAGGTGCAAAAAACCATGTTAGTAAGCTGTATCATGTGAAGGTGGTTGTTCAGCAAGGTTAAACTTAGGTTTTATCACTAACTTGGAAAGTACTTGGCAGCAGAGGTTGTCTAGTGTACTCACATTCATCTCTTTACTGCACAAATTGACAAAAATATTTCATCTGCTGCAGAGAATATTCTAAACAAACCACACCATTTCCAATAAACACGACAGAATATTACCTTTCACTGTCTACACTGACTGAATGAATCACATCCACTAAAAGCTTAAAAGAAAAGGATATTGTTTATGCCAAATCTGAATGATTTTAATCAAGAAGGCTTGTCCCATCTTCTACAAATATACAACTTGAAAAAAAGCTGTTAGAAAGGTAAGTAGATCCACAAATTCATGTATGATGGTAACACTATCAAACTTCGTAGCAGTATTACTTTCATGAGTATTCTGACAACCACTAAAAAGTCAATAGCTCCAATCTTAATGATTATATTGAACAATAACTGGTCAATTCTTGAATTAGCATGAATTGCACCTTATCCCCATTGCACTGCTGAGGCAAAGTAAATATTCATCATTTACATATATTTTATAGAGAAAATATACAACATTCTCTGTGAAATTATCACAACCATTTGTTGAAATAAAATTGTACCTGCATTGAAGTTAAGCTTCATCACACTTACACATTCATCTATTTTCTATTATTAAGATTTTCGACAATATTTGCAAGACAATGTTTAGACCGAGAATAAGATAAAAAATAGTTGTACATGTAATAATAAATATATATTTATTGTAAGTTAAATACAATGTCATAAACATTTATATTTTTGCATACATTTTTGAGAAATTAAAAATTAGCAGTTTTATTTTAAAGCTGTAGCTTTTGTAATTGGTTCCACAAGAAACATTTTATACAAAAGTTGCAGAATATTTTATCCTCTTCCAAAATTGATTTTATTCATTTTTCTATGGGATTCAAAGGAAAAGAGTTATAGAGCAAAAAATAAAAAATAAAAATAAAAAAAAAAAATCAGAAAAAATACCATTTTTTTCAGCCTCCAAGAGTTTTACAAGGTCAGGGAGGTTGAAAACTTGGGAGTTTTAACTAGTGTGTGTACATACAATGTACTCAAAGAGAAAGTTTTTATTATTTTTTCATGTAATCCTCCTTTTTCAGAACTTGCTGAGCGGACTAATGTAACATGGATCCCGTATCTGCTCTTGCTACGAATCTCACATTGTCTAATAAACCTTTACTTTCAAAAAATGTCTTTGAAAGGAAATTGTAATGTAAAAGGAACTTCTTTACCAATCTTAAATCAATTAAAAAGTCAATTGTCTGGTCAAACACTTAGAGGTGCCCAAGTACTTCCATGGCCTTGATATATCTTTGATGGGTGATCATAAGAGTACAAGTAAAAAAAGTAATATAATAATAATATAAAATTTGTACTTTGAATATTAACAATACTTGCAATGTGTAGAAAAATTAAGTGTCTTATAACAGGATTTGACTAATATGCTTTTTACCCGACATAGATACTTGTATGATGAGAGCTGATACACATCTCATTTTTGCCAACAAACGACTTGCACTTTTATGATTGACCATCAAAGATATTGTGATCAGATACACTCCCATTTGGCAAAAATTTCTTACAGAAGGAATATATTCTCAAACATTTACCTGTAAAATGTACGAGTAGCTTCTTTGGTTCTTAAATCAAAGCATTTCATAGTTCCATCTTGGGAACCAGAAATGAGCCATGCAGCTTCAGCTGGATGAAAACTCACTTTATTGACTGTTCTTTTATGATCAACGAATACATGCTCTTGTTTAGAACGGGTGGGTTGATTTAAGTTCCAAACAACCACTGCACCATTTGTTGCTGCTGTTGCCAAGATGTTATCTTTGAAGGAAAAGAAGGGTCCTGTATAACCTCTTAGGCACACACAGAATTTCAACACATAAACAAATTCTAAAAAATTGTAAAAACATGTAGCAACAAAAACTACTGTACCATCAATAGTATTCCAAGCAACATCATTACAAGAGAAATTGAGATTAGGGTTTTTGCCTATTCGTAAATTGCAGCTTTCCACAAATTCATCCTCTTCAATACTGTACACCTTAAAAACTAGAAGGGAAATATCAAACATAGTATTAGAAGGTCACAAATAGCACCAAATCTTATAAATACTCAACATTGCTCACCATTTCTGCCTGCTATGACAACATGAGAATAATCTTTATTTAAAGCTAGTGCATTGGCTGGGCCCTCTTGGGTCACAAAGAAAGTTCTTGATGACATACTTCAAGAAGAAGATATTTTGTGACGAGATAAGACATTAAAGAAACATTTCTTTGTTTTTTTTTTCAAACTTTTGCTGCAATCTGTGATCCTGCCAGCAAGTTAATATCCATTTTTCTAATAAATTCAATTCCTTATTCAAGTAATTACTTCTGCAGAACTTCTGTTTGACCATAATAATTTATTCTCCAATATCACTAGCAAAAGGCAATTACTAATTTAACTAACAACTGGTATAATTGGAACATTTTTTTAAAAGAAACATATGAGTTGAAAAGTGATGAATCAAAATCAAAGCCATTTAATGATTTTTATAAACTGTGCAAGCACAGCTCCCTCATCAATAGACTAATAGTCAAATTCACTTACTCAACACAAGCAAATTTGCTGCCACAAACAAAGTCACTTCAAATGAGTGACATTCTAAAATAGTATACAATCTAGTATTCAAATCTAACTCCCATTATGTACGTCAAAACCTGGCCAAACTAAGTAATAGAAATAATTAATTACAAGCTTAAGCGAAATAAAAGTCAATATAAGACGTTATCTATTCACTGCGAAAGATAGTCTTTTAAATTTAAGAAATGTCATACTAACGCACATGGAGTACAAACAAGATCAAGAAGTAATCAAAATGAGACCAACCGAACGATGATTAATACACTAATTTCTGACACGTAAACGACATTTAAACAATCCCAAGACAACACTCTGTTCTACACATAAAGGAAAATAAGCAAAACGAGAATATGAAGAGGGAAATATATTGTAGGAGCCCTAAACATGATATGCAAACTCCGATTCTCCGACCGTCCTCGGCAGGATCCCGGCACAAATGTTGATTACGTTTGTGATTGAATTGTGTAACAATAAAAAATAGTCTTAAGGTGTTCAATGGTATCAATCATGGTATCTTTTATTGATTATTGCGTGATGGTGCATTACAATAAGGATAAATAAATTGGTGCATTGGAACTTGGAAATCGTTATGGATGTTATTTGCAAATGCAAACGATTCGCAATATAGCACTGAAGACAGCCAATAAACACTTTGTATCCGAACGAAGTTTACTACTGCGCGAATTTTAAACGTAGTTTGACTGCACAAAATTTTAATAATCGACCGTAAACTTCCATTAATTTATCTTATTCCTTTAATTAAGAACAATAAATCACTACGTATTTTAAATGAAGATTTCAAAGAAATGTTCATACCGTTGTTTTTATTGTACTTTACATTCATTTCGGATTTTAACCTTTAATTCATCTTTAGGTGATTTTGTGTATACTTATAAAATTATAATTCTTAAATTATTTCATGCCTTAATTTTATTTTATGTGTTTTTATTTTGTCAAGAATGTTTCAAAAATCTGTACGATTATTGTTTACTGAGTGGTGTTCAAAAATATTCCAAATATTACTTTTACTTTCATATTAAAGTTACAGAGATCATTCGTACTGCGCCATGACTGTTTAGAAACTTCGCTTCTACGCAAGAAAAAATATAAATTAAAAGACATGGAACACGTGCACGAATTGTTCAAATGTTAATTCAATACGTAAAATAAAAAAAGAGGATTTCATATAAAATTATAGAATGATTATTGTAGTAAAAACAAGTCATTATGTGAGTGTGATTCGAAGACAGCTTTGTTTTATTTTCCCTAAATATTGTTTGGAGGAAAGGATACTCCAGGTGAACGAAGAATGGATTTGAAACTAACGACTATCCGTAGCGAATCTCTTCTATTAGATGTTTAACAATTTAAAGCTTGAAGAATTATGGAACTTCTCAAATCCGCATAAAAACAGTGTACAGTTAGCATATTGGGCACTCTCAGTATGACAGAAGAATTTTATCTATATATTTGCATCTCCGTCATTCGATGGAGCTGCAACCCCTTTTTGGCACGGCACTAGCCACTTCTAATACCAATTTGAATTTTATCTAAAACAATTGTAGACCACATTCATAGTTGACAATTTGATGTAGATCTGATCAGTTTAGCTCTCTCTCTCGACGATGGGTTGCGTGTCTCGGCGCTCATGACAACTTCAGAAGAAACCACTCAGGCAACTCAATATTCTTGAAAACATTGTAGACCAGTGTATGCTCTATTTCTTCTAAATACTGACCATCTCATTGGTTTTCCCCAGGCTTCAAACGCAGTTATTGTTGACCTACTTATTAGTGACCACTTTTCTGAGTCACTTCGATATCCCTAATTCTTAAGTTGTCCGCCCACCTTCAGCTCACATTACTGGTCAATACCTCGCATTGATTGGGATACATCGAAAAACACATCCATATACCCGATAATTGTCCCAAAGACATCGGTTTCATTGTTGCCCATTATATAAATGCCGTTCTCAACGAGATTTCCCCTAAAATCCTGAAGTCTGCGGGCTGACCACGACAACCATTGAACCTCGGTGGAATAACAACTATTCCACATCTGTACACCAAAACCTCCATAAACAGGATTGTGTTCCGGTCGATTCCAGTTTATTTCCTTTCTTATTTCATTTTAATGGATATTTATTTATTGTAAAGAGAAAATGGGAATTCATAGAGCTAATTTTGTAGCAATAACTGTCAACTGACTTCTCGCGAAGACTGTTATGGATCAGGTATCCAGTGACGTACCACCACTTCGGAGAATTTGTACTACACACTTTTAAATTTCGCGCCAATTTCTTTGGATGCGGTGCCGGCGAGCTGAAGTAAGCATGTTAGCTTGTCCACGACCTTACAATCTCTACGGAAAAATAGGCATAAACCAACAAATATGCCCTAAACATTTTCTCGCGGAAGAGAAAAACTAGAAATAATTAGAAAATTATTAAAGAAACAAAATAGCAATACCATCTGAGAGAAGAACTCATGCAGAACAGAACCCTTTCAAAATATTGAGACCGAAACAGCAAAAATCCGTATGGCATATCCTAATGCAAATATGAAAAACTCATTACCTACAAGTTCTACAATAAAAAGAAACCAGGGAAGAAGGACACATGTGTAACGACAACGGGCACACAGAGCCATTTTCGCTAAATGAGGTGGAAATGTAGTACAAAAGGAAAAGAGAGGAAGCTGAAGGTCCAGAGCAAATATACTATGAACACCTAAAAGTCTGCTGGAGCCATATGAATGTGATAATAACGGATTTGTTTAATAGATGCTTGGATCAAGGTAACATATAAGACGGAGAGAATCAACACTGAAAGTACTCTATAAGAGGAAATGAGACGTAATCATTATTAACTGAAATAAAATGAACATTTAAAAATATATAAATCCTCTAATTTTCGTTACTAAATACCTTTAGAGGGAAATGGAATACAGAGGAGAAATATATTGTGGAAAGGGAAATGATCTTGGTAGGGAATATAAGAAGTATTTAAGGCAGAACATCGTGGGCCCACGGCGGGGCTTTTCTTAAGGTGGGACCTATTCGTAATCAGAGAGTAGTATAACTCATAAAACTCTCCGTGCTTATAATATTCTGGGCCTACTGGACATCTTTGCACAGTATAAGGTACAACCCTGCCCCATTTGTGCAAGAGATATGTGTCCTTAAATAATGTTCCTTTTTGTAACAGTTTTTAACTGTTAATAATTTTTATTTTCTGCCTGGTTTCGACGATTCGCGCCCGTTTGTATTTCGCGCGCTACGTCGCGTCATCTAGCGCAACATGGTGGACGTCACGTGGTCGAAAAAACTTTTGTCGGGAGCACGGTGTTATTTCTTACACAATGTATTTCCCAACGAGTTAGAGATATCTCTAACGTATATCTCTATCGTATATCTCTAACTCGTTGGTATTTCCAATGTTTTTGAATTTAACACACATTTATTTCTAACCGTGAACACCGCGTCACGAATCGGTTCTAGTAACCGGGTCACCGTACTGGATATAGAAAATCTGTGCTCTTAGTTTCTTCTGAGGGCGCTGCTCCTCCAACATACCCAAAGATCTTTTAACTACATCATTAACGTTATAACCACCTCCATTGTCTATTGTATACTCCGATTTAATCTTAGTGGCACCCATTAACATTACGATTAACATCCATTGGAAGTATTTTAAGATCAAGGAGGGAGGATCGAGAGCTTCGTTAAGACTTAAATATTTATTATTGGAGCTCTTGATTAGACAGCAAAATCCCCTTTTCTTCCAGTTTGTGATCTTGAAGCCCATTGTATTTAAATTGAAATATATATCTAATGTCGACATCACAAAGTACTTTCATATTTGCCTATGATCCACATTTACTTATCATTTACTCTTTGACCCGGAGAAAACGGGAAGTGAAGCAAAGTGAAGACAAGTGTGTGAAAAAAATACTGTCCGGAGAACTTGCACACTTGCAGTTGGCTGCTTGCTTGGACGAGGTCCGGCTAGCAAAGGTTGGATTTCGGTTTATCGTTTATCTTCCTCAGGTTAGTGTTGATATTTCTTCTGTTGCAGTCTTAATGATTGAATTTGTTCAGTGAGATTTCTGCATTTCAACCAATGATTGTATTGTTTCCAGGTGTTCCAATATCTGGTAGTAAAATGGCGATTGCGAACAGCATTTATCAAATTCTCTTTAGGAGAACGTCAACTTTTGCCTTAACCATCATCGGTGGGGCATTTTTCTTCGAAAGAGCTTTTGACTTAGGATCGGAAAAGTTGTTTGAAGAAATTAATAAAGGGGTGAGTGAATCCAATAGTAAAAAATGGTTCATTTTATCAAAAATTTTGTAGCAATAATTGACAAATTTTGTTAATTACAGAAATTGTGGAAAGACATCAAACATAATTATGAAGAGTCTTAAATTAAAGCTCAGAATGGAATATTTAATTTTAGTTCTCATTTGTATATAAATAAAGTATATAACCTGTTCAAGTACAGATTTTGTTTACTTCTCTACAAATCCCTTTCCTTCTTTTTTATTCGCTGTAGCTTTGCTGTCCCCATGCTAGTCTAATTGAAGCACTATAAATGTGGGCAACAGGGGACAAGGATTAATAATTTTGACCATTTATATGCTTGTATGAATTGTGTGTAATTGTATCATGGCATAACTAAAAAAAGTTGTATTCTAGTGTAAGTTATAATTTGATTCTCTTGGTTGGTCATTACCCAGTTGTGGAGGAGCGACCTTAAATAAATAAACTAAAAAGAAGGGACTAACATTATAAGTGTGTTGTATTTTTTCATATAGCAGTCTTGGGTAACAAGGTTCTATCGGATAAAATTTTAGAGATCACTTCAAAAGCTTGTATGTATCTATTTAAAATGTATAAAATTATCTAATTTTGCTTAGAAGATTTTTCTAGTGTAATTTGAGAAAATATAAAAGTTAAAAGATGTTGAAATAACATTTACACCAGTGCTGCGGCTTGACAGTTTTCTGTAGTCATTTCACTAGACTTGCTCATTGTTTTAGAAGCAATACAGATTGGTCCCAACGGCCATACACCTGGACCAAATACAAAAATTTGGCTTGATTTGCAGTGAAATTTGTATGCAAATATTCTTAAATGACTTAGCCATTTAAGAATATAAAATATGTTTGAAAAACAGATTTTAAAGCAATTCAGGCACATGTTGGTATTGTGACCAGGTTTTCAGCAATTGGACTATTGATGGCTGCAAAACTGCACCCCCAAAAAAGTGATTGAACCTTGTCAGTTATGGTATTTGAAATATATTTGAAGAATCCTTTTGAAATTCTGTAATTTGTAACTTGGTGCGTGTGTGTGTGTTGTGCTCGTACACATTTTCATGTTAAAGTAATGAAAGTCAAAAAGACTAAGAAATTGTGAATGCTTGTGATAAGTTACGAAACCACTGAATATTCAATAAGGCTGTCATGCAATTGATTTCTTGAATACTATTTCCTGTTGCTGTATGGATAAATACTATAATTTTATTTCAAAATCTTGATTTCTTGCAAAATGATAAAATTAAGTAATTAAAATAAAGTCTTTAAATATAATTTAAATGTATTAATGAAGACTTCTGAACATCTTGACTTACCAGATGAAAGAGCAATATTAATAACATTTAAGTTCAAAGTTTAATTCATCTGCCTGGAACATAAGTATTATAAAAAAAACAAGACTATGAAGGTTACTGCAAAATTACATTTTAAATGTAATGTTTGTATCAGAAACGAATACTAAGTAATACATAATGGAAATAGTATGTCTTGTAAAAGACTTCTTAGTTGTTCAAAGGATTGGGTATCAATTTTGAAAGAGGGTTTTTGCTTGTTCTAAAATTAAGAGATTGATTCGGTTCTATTCCAGAAGAATGAGATTATCAGAAACGTTACTAAATTGTTTCCATGCTTCATAAATTGTAAACCCTGCATATTTTAGAATAATGCTGTTTTGGGAAGAGAAATGAAAATTTGGGCTACTTTCCTCCTTTACCTTTAAGGATAAGGCTTCAACCTGTACCGATGTCCAATTCTTTGCTCAGAGTTCATGGGATATTTTGAAGGGCTAATGGCAGCAATCTCTTATGTGGCATCTTTTCCAAATGTTTGCAACATTTCTAGTTCATAGTAAGCTCTATGTGTGTGTGTGTTTTTTTATACAGGTGTGACATGTATATGTTCTTTATATTTTGGAGAGAGTAACTTGAAGTCCACTTTTACGTATTTTCAAAATTACTTTTAATTCACTTCTGTACACAAGAACTGGAGTAGTATTACAGAACTTCATGTGGTTATTTTTACACGTGTTATATTTTTAATTCGTGTTTGTTTCCACACATGTCCCTCAACTTGTCGTGTTTTACTTTTTCGTTTCAGAGTAGAGAGAAAGCTATGTAACGCTGTGTGAAGAAGTGACGAATTTTCAGCAGAAAATCTCGTATTTCAGGCTCCTGGTAACGAGAAAGTGGATAAATCCAGTTGCTAAATTTTGGGGGGGAAAACCTCTAACACATGGTGTAGCCAGAATCGCATGTTTCATGGGTCGTTCCAACATCACTAGACATAAATTGTAAGCTACACCAAAGTTTGATTCACTTAGAGGAAGACTTCTCAGCTTGTTCTCCTTCCATGTAGTAATTGTCCGTATGACATGGTGCTGATATGGCCATAGTAAAAAAAATGTTTAATAGAGCCTTACATCATTCAAAATTTAACGTGTATAATTTTTGTAGTCTTGGATGTAAATGTTTACATTAGAGGTGTATTTTATAATTTAATGCATTTTTTGCACACAAATGCTTATATCTGCTACAAAATTTCTCAAAATCTCAACAGGTTTTTATGTGTTTATTTTTCTCCTTCTCAGGGTGATAAGAAGTGATTGGTTTACACAGTTGTCTCAAACTGAGGAAGGAGATAAGATTCTTTTCTTTAAATTTGACAGTGTTTGGGTAAAGGGAGATAAGTGAAGTTTGAAGAAAAGTGCAAATAAGCTCTACATGCTCATTATAAACAAGAAAATATTTTTTTAAAAATATTAAATTAACTAGATTTCAATTGAAGATTTGTGGTGTAGTTTACATATTTTGACATGTACCTCTGCGCCAAAACAACACCTTTACAAAAAACTACAAAATCCTTTACCTCAACACCAATGAATTTTTTGTTGGACTAAACTTTCTGGTATTTTCAAAATTGCTAATTTGAATCTTCTACAAGACTTTTACTGGAGAGTCTCATTCAATTGATGGTTTAAATAATTAGAATACAAGAAGCAGTATTACTATAATGTTACACAACTATTACCAAGTAATGAGAAATGAAGTAAAAGGAGAAATTTTAATGATGTTATATGGGCATGGGCAAGAATAATAAGCTATGCATTTCTTACATAACATTCATATTTAAAGCACAGTGAGGTAACTATACAGGTTCTTATGTTATATAGTTACTAGTACACAAATAATCTAAACAGTCTCTGCATTGGCATGTATATTAGACAGCAAGTTCTTATATAATTTATGTGATTACAATGCATCAGTTGTTCAATCATCTCACAAAACATTAAACCAAATTGTATTCTTGCATTATTATTTTTGCTTTCAATTATGATGTCAAATTAATGAGTAAAAAATTTGCAGGATGGCAAAATTACACATAAAATGCAAGGACATTCATTTGAGAGAATTATGAACAATTAATTATTCCACCTAAACATCCTTAATGCTGTACATTACTTACAAGAGATTTTGAAAGAAAATGAGCATATATACAGGTTTCTAATACTATTTAAGTTTGAGTTAAAAAGAAAAAAAAAAAAAAAAAAAAACATCTAACAAATCATTCACAGGGTGAAATGTAGAACTTATTTCTGTTCCAAGAAGAAATATAAAAATTCAAACTATTAGGAATACCAATAGATTCCAATATATATTAGTTTTATTATGTTAAGTAAGATACAGAGGACTAAGAAATGCACATGTAAAAGTGGAAAATATTGTTTTTGATCTCAATATAAAATGAAATTACATATTACACATCTTTGTACCCTTTTAAAATAATGACTATATAATTTCATTGTGGCAAGTGTCCTTGTGACACATAAGCAGAGTATAGGATATAACGCAACACCTTGAAATTACTTTTCCAATGAAAAGTAACAGTGTCAGGGCAGTAATTATCACCAGAGTAGTGACTTAGAGCGATGAGAGTAGGGCCCAGAGTGAGGAGGGAAAAAAACATATATTTTAAAATCAAAGTTGTTTTTGGCAACCTATACTTAGTTTCTTAATAAAAAGTCTAGGAGCAAATGTGAGCAAGAGCTGAAAAAAGTTGTAAAAAACAACAACAGGGCTTTGAAGTTCAGACCCACCACCCAAAATTTGGTTGATCCTTCGTTTAAGCAAGCCTTTCCTCTTGATGGGGCTTCAGCCCAACCACTCATTTTAACAGGAAAAGTGGTGGAAGTGGTGTTGGGGGGGAGTAATGTTTGTATTTTTTTTGCATAAAAATGAATTGTTTTTATACCAACAATTTGGTAGTTTCAAAGTTTATGTAAATTGCAGAGGCAGAAAAGAGGAGCCTCCCCATTGACTTGGAAAAATGTGAGTCAAATCCACTAGGCTGTGAAAGTACAGGGTCTTTAGCTTAACTTGCAACCCATGTCTGAGAGCACTTGTTCTCGTTCGGGCAATTAGGCAACCACATGTTTTTGCCACCTTTCAAGACAGCCATGTCTCCTTGAGACAGCAGAGGATGCGACCGTATGGTCATAAGCTGCAGCAACTTTCCTGTTTCTGGGCTTTTCCCATTTAAGAGCTTAGGCGGACAGGTATCCAGCTCACACAACAGAAGCATTTCGCGCTGCATAGTGCGAGTGGGATGGGGAGGGGAGAGCAGACGTAAGTAAGAAACAAAACATTTCTTTAGATTCTGTCCAGTATGCTTAAGAAACAAAACTGTAATACTGAAGATGTGGAGGGAAGTTATGACTAATTTATCTATTTATTAACACCGATTTTACAATAAATATTATTTAAAGAAAGTGGGCTCAGAGAGAAATAAAAAAGATATCTCATGAAACATTACTGCCAAACTCATTCATTATTTATAACAATGAATTATTATTATTATTATTATTATTATTGAATATGATGAAGTAAATAAGAAAGCCTTAATAAAATTATTAAAAATATCAATAAACAAATCAGTGTGTGTGTGTGTATATATATGGCAAATACAAAGCTTATATACCAAATTGCTGGTATATAAGCAATTCATTTTTATGCCAAAAAATACAAACATTACTTCCTCAACCACCACCACCTTTCTCGTTAAAAGGAGTGGTTGGGCTGAAGCCCCACCAAGAGGTAAGATTAGGAAAATAAATCATACATGGAAAAAAGTGGTCGGTTTATGAGAAATTAACGTGGTGGCAATATCATCTATTGGCCTGAGACCCCACTTATTCTCATTGTGACCCTGACATTTGCATAGGAAATCTGAAGACTAGATATAAAAAAAACAAACAATAAACGATGCACATCCACACCACATCATTAATTCGGTATTAGACTTTATGACTAAAACATTTATTAAAGGCTTCAGAAATCAGAAAAACAAACAAGTGACTGATGTCCGTTTATAAAAATATAAAACACTCATAAACAGTAAAAACAGAAAACGGCTTACTTATCTACTACAGTAATATAACTAAACAAAATTCAGACTATCAGAAAACCTATAATAGATTTAGGGCTTTTCTTCTGTAGCTTTTGCTACAACTTTTTTGTCCATGATAGAGTTGAAATTTAGAGCATAAAAATTCCAGTCTCAAAACAGGAAAGTTTTCTTTTGAGACTTGTTGAGAATTTCAGTACTTTTATTTGGTAAGTAGAACGTTTCCCCTTCATTGTTTTTCTCCAGAAAAAAAGCCTATTCTGTTTGCTCTTGAATACAGCATGATTAACACAACATTCAAAACAGGCATGTCTTCACGAATGTAGTCAACTTGATGAATCGTTGCCTAATTCCTTCTGTCGGGATGATGAATTTAATGAGGAGGAAGAGGTGCGCGGTATTTCTTGTGGGACTTCACCTGTAATATTCATATTACAAACAAATAAAAGATCTTCACAAGAATAAATGCAATTCAAGCAGTAGCAACTTGTGAAAATTGTAGCTCATTTCCACTACAATTGAATTTTGCAATTTAAATATAATTAGTTTTATGTAATGTGCATTGTTTTCTTTGTACAATCACTCTTATGAGTCATCATTGCATCATTATTATCTTCCAATAACTGCAAATTGGACCTAAGTCAGTAGTTCAAGTATGTTCTGCAGGCCTAATGGTTTACTCTGCATTGCTACTGTCATCACATTGCCAAAGCACAGGTGATAAACCATTGTCTGTGAGGAGAGGGTAGTAGGGTGTAGAGGGCATATAGCTACAAAAAATTGTCATAAACTACTTAGTAAAAAAAATTAAAATTAATTTCATAGCAATAATAGGTATAGCGAATTATCATTAATTTGTTATTGAGGTCTGTATATTTGGAAATAATTAAAAAACACGACATAAGTGAGCTAATGTTATGAGCACAAGCTGAGAATTGTGTGCCGCAAATGCATTGTATTTCATAAATATTTTAACGCCAATGAAAATGTTCAAAACTCAATAGTTAAAGGAGGGCTGTTCTCATCACTCACACACACACACACACTCACTCACTCTCTCACACACACAAGAAAAACTAACACTTTATGCCTCCATGACAGAACCCATTCTGTTAATCATGGGCAAGAACTTTCAAGCATGTGCAGCAGACAACCACCTTTTGAAGATGCAAGCAGGCACTAAAGTCAAGCAATGGTGGGTTAGAAAAAGGAATTAATAAGGAAGCTATATTAGTGATACCCACAAAAAGTAAGATAGGGATCTCATCTTTTTGTTTCCATCTCACTAAGAGTAATGATAATACTGGTAAGCAATACAATTTCTTATAGTAATATGGTTATTTTAGGAAATAATGTATTTTAAGTCAATGATAATCTATTTTTAGAAATAAGTTTGACATTACAAAAATAAGGAAATAGAAATGAAATAATGAAGAAAGCAAGTATCATCACACACCCATTTACAAGACTGAAGCTTTACTCCCTCCAATCTATTCCTACTTTTCTAACTTTGTCTTGGGCAGCAATTTGGTTAAAAAACACACCACTTTTATCCAACTCTATTGCTTGACATTTTTGGCCAACAGCATTTTTTTGATTTCCTAAATATTCAACCAGGATTTTTCCTGTTCCAATAAACCTTAAGGGAAAAATTATAATGAAAACAATTTTGAAGAAGAAAAGTAATAATAGATGAACTCCTGCGTACATAATGTACTCATGTTCAATTTTGCAACTTGAAAATTCGGGGAAAAATTCGGTAATGCATGCATTCTTTGAAAGGAGTACAGAAGTTTAAAACCGTAAATTATTTTTTAGTACTACAATCGTGGGATTCTGCACCTATCGACTCTGCCCACAAGTGTCATTTCAACACCTTAGTATTTTTAGCTAGTTGCTGTGACTATAACAAAGTTTTTTTTCTTCGTTAACTTTCATTATTTTCTTACTCTTTCTGATAATTTGTATTATTTATAAACTTTCTTACTTCAAATAAAATATTTAAGGATTAAAATATTCAAAGCAAAAGGACACACTCGACATTTTATGCAATATTTGGAAAAGAAATTAACATAAACAATAGGGTGAAAAGATCTCATTAGTACAAAATGAAATATTTTTTTCCTACCTAGTACCCATGACTAAAGTCACCTTCACTTCCACCTGTCTCAAACATTCTCCCCATTTCTAAAATACACATTTTAGAAACTCATATACCTAGTAAATAAAATATAATACATAATATCATAGCTTCGAAATGAATGAGCTAACTGATCCTTGAAAATAGACACACACTGAATGCACTATCTTGTGTCTAAATTGGATGGCACTTTCCCTGCAATTGCAAAGTTAGAAGATAATTGAAATAATAAGAACTGTAAAAGCTCGCAGGAAACGTTAAATATTAGGCAGAGATGATTAGTGGCAATAGCAAGAATATGGTATTTCCCAATCTGAACTATCTTGTTGGTGTCACCCATGGGCAGAATAGGTAAAAAGTTAAATGATAATCTAAGTTTCATTTTTTGAGATTCTTAAACCTAATGTAACACAAACAAAAGCAATTAATACTTGTAGGAGATTGCAAGCAATACAAAAACTGTAAGTATTTCTGTTTGTCGAAATGACACCCTAGTTCTAATGTTAATTTTAAAGCAACACAATCGATTATCAAATTTTGAACCTTACAAAAATAATTAATGGTTAATAAAAGTTAGATACACACAGATTCCAGAATGTTTTCCTGCCTTCTGTTTTGGTACTGCTCCTGTTGATACACTGTGACGTGCATAGCCATTGACACAACTGAAAACCAAGGAAACCATACCCTATTAACATCCTTAATTTTAATCTTTAATGCATTGCATTGATTGCATGTAGAGTTAAATATAAACATAAGAAGGAAATCAAATTAAAATTGTGTAAAAATAAAGTTATTAAAACATCAAAAATATTTCTAGACATCCCTATGATTTGAATTTCACACGCATTTAAAAAGGTAGAGAAAATAACTAATGTGCATTGGTAGAAGAATAGAAGGTGTGTGCCACACTAGTGTTGTGTTAACAAGCATTACCTAACGCTGATGAGTCCAGTTTTATTGATGCCTGCGCACATCACTTAACGAAAGTGGTGGATTAGAACTGTATTTTACTCAAAACACACGAGCACTCTTGGCAACGTGCGTTGTTGCCAACGCTTGTCGCCAAGAGCGCGTTGAAAACTCGAAAACACACTTTATCTTGCCTTATGCTGTAGCTTGGGCTGTGGGCACAACGCACGACGCCAAGAGCACTTTTGTGCCATTTCTTATAAGATAGTGTTAATCTACGATGCGCATTATGTGATGTGTGCACAAGCTTCGATGAAGCTGATGTCATCAGCGTTAGGTGACATGCATCAAGGCACTGCACATGTGACATAGGCCTAAGAGTGATAGCCTTACAATCATTTGTTTATTATACACTGACCCCTTCACAATTTCACACTTTCTCATTCCAAAATAAACATATTTCCCCATCCTTTAATAGCTCAAACATCAAAGTATGGAATTACCCATACGTTTTAACCATAAATTCGTTTCATGAACCCTGTTTGCATTATTTCATAAATAAATAAATTAAAAAATTATTAGTTGGAAATCATTACGAACTGCTGAAAAAAAAAAAAAAAAAATTATCAAGTTGGGAAAAATGTAAACTCGCATTTCGTCGTTTTATTTCTTCCAGCAGAAATACCATTTCCTTCCTTTCATCTAACAAAGTGTACCATCAGCGGATGGCGGGGACTTGTTGAAATGTCATTGTGACATTTAAAATTCACAATGCTTGGGTTAATATGACTCCGATTTCTGATGTAAATTTCGGTTAGCTTTTTGTTTTGTAATATTGTTTAATACATACCTAATACTGCATATTAAATCATATTATACTGCTTATTGATTGTATGTATCTAAATACATTACACTGTACTCATAGTTACAAAAACAAAAAAAACATTTTGCCTTATTTACACCATTTTCCTAAGGGTCCCATGAAAAGTGTAAAAGAGGTCAATTTTTAATACATAAAAAACCTGTAAGATAAAATAGCTGATTGCTCCTAAGAGTCTCTAATGGATTTCATATTGAACATTATCTTCTCATTACACAGTTCCTCTGCATAGAATTAATTTAAGGAAAAAATTGAAGCCATGCTTATGTCATGAAATACCTTGCTCACATCATAAAGGATTTATGTTTCTTAGCTTGTCCACTATATCACAACCTTGCTTTAATTCATCTACATCAATCTTTACATTTTATAATACAATCTGCATCATAAAGATTTTTACTCATTTTTGACAAATTAAAAAATTGCTTTACTAACAGCAGCACCTATAATCTTTGGTTTTCTATTTCCATCATCAAATGCATTTTTGTTTATTGGCAATTACTACAGTAGTACTATAACAAAGTTCACAAAATGTAATTCATGACTGCGTTTATAATTCTGTTCCTCATGAAAACATCTGATTTACTATTTTTAACTGCGATCTCACAAAAATTTTGTAGTCATTGCATTTATTACAATTATAAGGCAGGATTCAACAACAAAATAAATCTTAGTGATAAAACCAGTGACTATTTTGAAATTTATAAACACACTTTTTTATTACTACATTAAAATACTGCTGTAATTTTTGCAAAAATTAGAAACAGAAATAAATACATACGGTGAAGAAGGTAGATCAGCTCTTGATAAGCCACTTCCTGGAGATGTATATTCTGAACTGGAATTCTGTCTACTTCCTGGAAATTCAAAATTGAATACCTCTATTATATTCCTGTACTAAATGTGTACTTTCAACTTGTATCGAACACCTAACTCTTCTAGAAATAAATAATCCATTACCAATCTTACAATATATTCCTTTAACAAAATATTTGAAGATTAATCATCCTAATTACCTAACGGCAGAACATTTGCAGTAGGCTTTTTCAAAGCAGCACGTACTTCCATTAAATATGGATTTCTATCCTCGCCTTCGTAACTGGTAGCTGAAAGTTTGCTTCTTGTGGGAAATAAAGGCCCTGAGGGAGGATCCTTGTTGACTCTCTTTTTAATACCATGTGCAGCAGATGGAGATATTCCAAGCTTGTTCACATGCATACTCTCCTGCAGGGCAGCTGTTACTTCACAGGAGTCCTGTTAAGTAAATGAACATAATATCTGTTCAAACTCATAATAAAGAACTAGTGGGGCAACAACAGCACAATATTTCTAACACCATTGGTAGTAGTTTTTAAATTAGCACTCTAACTGGCGCCATAGTAAAAATTTAAAAAGCCAGGCTTTATACCATGTTGCTTGGAGAGCACAGATGAGATCAAAGTCTCGAAACATGTGTGCAGAAATGCTAGGTCTATATTTAGTGTAAATAGATTTTCATTATGAAAAATTACTTCTTTTTACCTATTCAAATGGGTTTCCCCACGATTTCTGCGGTAACCACTGAGTAATGTAACCTACTAATTCCTCAGCCATCTTGTGAATAACTTCACTAAATCAAACATGGGATATAAAAAAAAATGTATACCTTCAATTTTTGAAAATTCTGAGATTTTAATGAAAATGGAATTTATATCATAAATTTTTAGGATTGTGCTCCCTCAAAATTTTGTGAAAACTTTGTATACTATTTTGAAAAAAGTGTATGTAATATGATTTAAAGATAAGATTTTATAAAGAGAAAATCTATCTTCAATAAAGTAATAGAAAGAGTCCAAAAAATGTTTAACTTAAGCAATTCTCAAAAGTTCTGATTTTACTGAAAAATCACACCCCATTTTTATAAGCTTACTTTGTTTTACTCAAGCAAAAAATATAAAGAAACACTCAGCAGCATCTTCTGAGAAAATTTGTAACGTCCTAGAGGTTTCATGAAAAGTTAAAAGATGTTTCAAATTAACAGGGCCTTTAGTGGGGTCAGATTCACCTGACAGTTGTCTTAAAAAAAAAATGGAACTGCAAAACAGTAAAATTTATTTTCGATGAACACAGATATAGTTCGTTTAAGCAATTTTTAGCACAAATTAGTCCGGGCTCACCTTCATTGTGGATTTCTATCAAAGTTATCAGAGAGCAATCTAGAATACCACCATTAAAATCAGGCACCAGCTCCCTCTATACAGATGAAGAAAAAGTGGAAGCTTTTGTTCAGTTCTTACATGCCAATAGTTAACCAAAATATTTAATGAGAAAATTTTAAACAGCATGAAGCAACCTATATACTCTGTGGATGTAGGAACAAAATTAATATCCCCTGCAGAACTTAAACGGACAATAAACACAATAAGAAACAGAAAAGCAGCTGGGCCTGACCTAATAATTAGTGAAATATTAATAGAATTACCAAAATTCACAATTGCAACAATATTAAATGCAGCTTTAAGACTAGGGTATTAGCCAATTGGAAAAATCCAATAAAAAACCTTATAAATGTCTACAACTACTACACAATTTCAGGCCAATTAGCCTATTACCTTCGTTAGCTGAAGTGTTTGATAGACTGATTTTAGCTCGGTTAAATAAATTCTTATACATTACGAACGCCATACCTGAAGCCCAGTTCAGCTCTAAAGCAAATCACTAGACTGAAAAACCAATTTTTAAGTAATAAATTTGATTGCAAAGGGTTTTTATGAGAAAAAGTACATGGCAGCTCTATTTTTAGATGTCACTAAAGTGTTTGACCGTGTCTGGCACACAGGACTGAAATACAAATTCCACCAACTAGGCATTCCCGAATATCTTCCAAGATGTAATTGGAAATTTCTTGCTAAACAGATCATTTAATATTAAAATACAAGACACCATGCTGGATAAATACAGAATCTCAGCTGGAGTTCCACAAGGTTATTACCACAGACATTATTCAAAATTTACCTTGCCGATTTTCCGGCATTAATGGAAACCAAAATAACCTTCTCTCACAACATGAATAACTGATTATTGCCGTGAAATACCTACAAAATGATTTAAATTCCTTAATTAAATGGACTGTTAAATAGATCAGATAAACCCAAACCAATGAAAAGCTAACATTTTCTCGCTTAAAAAATTTATAACACCTCCAGTTTTAACAATGAGTAACAATCTGGGTCTCTGGCTAAACAATAACCAACCTGTCAAATACCTAGGAGTTAAATTAGATAGGAAATTAACATGGAAGAACTACATAGTTGATACTGCACACAAAACCTATGCAAAAATGTTCAAACTTTACCCATTAATAAATAAAAACTCAGCATTAATAATAAAAAACGGCGTAACAATTTATAAATCTATAATTTGCCCGTTGTTCACTTATGCATGCTCAATATGGGGAGGCGCTGCAAACATGCATATTAATAAATGAGAATTCATGTAAAAGAAATTTGTAAGACTGGTTACTAAAGCTCCCTGATTTATTCCTAATACACAAATATAAAGAGAATTCAACATTAGTTTCATTAAAGCATACATAAAAAACTACCGAATATTTTTTATTTAAGGCTTGAAGCTTGTCCTAGCAAAAGAACTTTTAACCTTGGCGGTACAGCTTATGCACCATCCAGGATATTGACACGCTTTCCAAAAGATTGCTTAAAGCCACCATGAAATGCTGGTAATAAGGTTATAAACATTATATCTGATTGCAACAACTGTATATGTTTTGCTCACAAAGTGGTATTTTTACTCAATGTTATATTTTTGTATTAAATGTAAATAGGAAATGTATATAGATTAAAAACACAAGCTCAAGTAAGTATACTTGTGCCCTGATGTAACTGGAATAGACTGTTATGTTATTCATGGAGAGAGAATATCCTGTGCACATGTGCACCCACTCACACATACACGCGCCTACACATAAATTACGAACTAAAAATTGATGGTTTTGAAAAGTATATGATGATGATATCTGAAAATGATCTGATTCTGAATCAAAATTTGTCCTCTTCTATTTCATTAGATAGTCATCCAACATGAAATATATATGTTTAAACCGATTTAACATGAAGTGAAATATTTTCCAAAAGCATCATGTCTTGTAGAATTTTAGTTTCCATGTTTGAATGTAGAAATGACTATAGAGCTCAACTTTGTTTTAAACATTTCCCGTTTTGAAAATGATTTTAAAACATCCTTTTTGAGCATATTCTCATTAGAACGAAATGATAAGAGATGATAGAGAAGTAAGTTCCAGCTCAGTTATCCACAGCTGCTCAAGGATTCAAAATATAAAGTATGTGAGAGAATTTTAATTATTGTTTCCAAAGTTGTAATTGGGGATTACAGGACGTCAAAGCCAATAATGATATCAAACCTTCAAAAGCAAAAGAACGATTTTATTTTTGCAATATATTAACTTATTCATAATAACATAAAATGCATGTTTGAAATATTTTTGTAACTGTGCATTATTGTTTTCCAAGTAGGCAGTAATTTTCACAATTCATGTGGAGCTTTTTATTAAAAATAAGGATTAATCACGATTGCCATCTGGTCGGTTTTCAGCTAAAATTACTAGCAATTCTGATACAAGTCTGGCTGCTGGTAAAAGTTTCTGTTGCAGCAAAAGTATTAACTCTAAATTGTTTATTTTCTGTTCACTTCAAAAATATAATTTTTTTTTATCACTGTACATGAAACCCATACTTTTTGTATAAAAATGTTGCCATTTTGTTAATTCAATTTCTTCAACTTTCTGTACAGTGTTGCTTATGAACTATATAAAAGAAGATTTAATTTTTCTACGAATTCATCATGCAATGGAATGCAAGTGCAATGCATCATGCTTAACATTTAAAAATTTAAGTTAAGAATCCTGACGTGGTTACACACAATTAAAAAAAAGACTGAAATTGAAAGAGATGAAATATTTAATTTCATCTTTATGTAGTAAAATAGTAAAACAACTAACCTCATGACTAAGTAAAAGATGAGGGGGGAAAAGGTCCCCACAAAACTCACAAGGAAGACCTTCTTCTTCTGATATTTCTGGTTCATTTCTCACTTTGTTTGCAGGAGGAACAACAAGTTGAGTCAAATGAGGACGACATCCAGTCTGTTGAAAACAAAAATATTATGTTTTATATTTTTCAAAAAAACTGCATGAACTGGCAAGGAAAGAAAAAAAATGTTGTTATTTACTAAACATGAGTGTATTTTCATTTATAAAATCTATGTTATTTCATAATCTTTCATCCAGAACTACAACTAGAGCCTTAGAGCACCTCACTGAATGAGAAGGAAAAAATTATGTAACTTTTGATATTGAACACATTATTTAAAAAAGTTTTCATTAACCTTTGCAGTTAATTTTTACTTTTCGATTTATTTTTTCATTCTTTCTTAGATTTAACAAGAATTAAAAAAGTAATAGCACATGTCAACAATATTATTGAAAACTTATCATTTTATTAGAGTATAAAGGTACTTTAATTATAAAGAAAATATCTAGAAACTAGAGGTGTTACAACAGCACATGCTTCCTTGCACTATTTCTAAATTCGCAATTTTTGAAAATTCAGAGAGGGCAACAAAAATGAGACGTGCGTCTTTTTTTTAAGCTTCCCTTGTTTCATTGTGAAAAAAACATCAAAGAAAAAATTTGAAAAGCTTTTATGGAAAATGTGCTTTTTAAAACATTGTGTTAATATCAAGCACAAATTATGCAAAAACTACTAATTTTTTGAAAAAATGGTACATGACCTTTTAAAAAATGCTTTTTAATAAGAACAAATTTTGTTGAAGGAAAAAATTTGTTTCTTCAATTTTTGAAACATTCAATATTTGCAATTTTTGAAAATATATAGTTTGCTGGAAATGAGCCTAGAACCATTTTTATTTTTAGTATCTTTTGATAGATACACGGAGAAAATTTAAAGATACCATTCAGAACTGATTTTGAGAAAAAGTTGTTTTATAAAAATTAAAAATTAGTACCTTGATTAGAAACTCTCTAGGTACAGTTCAAATAAGTATTTCAGAAAAAAGATTGGAAGAAACATAACGGACACAATACTTTCCAATTTTGGACTTATCATTAACTGACCAAACACTACAGATATTGTTTAACCCTTTGAAACCGGGTCTATACTACGACCTATTTAACCATGAATTTCACATGAATCAGCTGTTCAGGGTTTCAACCAATCTAGAGTGTGAACATCCCCATAGTGATGTCACTGTAGCAACATACAGGCTCCCGATTGGATGAAATCACACCAGCTGAATTATGTCAAGTGCACAAATATATATATCAAACTATAGGTAAGGCATGGTAACATTTGAACACTTATGAAGTGAAAAGGGCTGAGTGCATCAGCTTGGTAGCAAGAATTAGGTTAGTGTACCGCTATAGAGGCTCCCCTCTCCCTAAGGCATCCCACCGCAAGGAAAATCAGAATCTGTATGCGGGGAGGAACGAACACGCTGTTCAAAGATGACATTATGACAAAAATAATGATAAAAATTAAACACTCATAATACAATAACAATGGAAAATTAATAATAATAATAATAATAATAATACTATTTACGTTATTATTCCATTTCAATTTCTTTCATTCATTCATTCGTTCGTTCATTCATTCATTCAACAATTAATTTTTATCTAATGAAGTTGGGAGCCCATAGGGTAACAATTAAAAATTCTCAAAATGTCGATCCAAGTCAGAAGTAGAAAGATCACCTTCTTTGAAAACTACTAATGAACAAAATAATGAACTGAACTTACTTAGAACAACTTACTGATCTAACAAAAATATATGAAATTTCTACCACATCCAACAAAATCAATTTGTATGTGTTCTTTTAAAATGCTCGAATTTATAACCATAGACTTAATCTGTCATCTACTTTGAGAGAAATTCAAAAAATGTATTTAATTTAAATTTTCTACCTCATGAAGAACCAATTGGTTGGCAGGGATCATGGCCTCACAAAACTCACAAGGCAATGCAACCAACTCTCCTCCAATACCAGTGTCATGATATTCCCTTTCAGGAGGCGCAGAAGGAGCAGAAATTGTTGTCAAGTGAGAATTTTCCTGGTCTTGTAAACGTAGAGCCAAAAGAAGATCCAAATCAACAGTATCATCATCTTGTTTATTTCCTAGAATGTAAGACTTACATTCACTCTTACTACACATAAAAATAAACAAATTTTCATAAGATCGTATATGAATTAAATAATTAGGCAATGTTTAGGACACTTGATCTAGTGTCACAGTTATTACGCAAGTCAGAGTCACATCTTATCTTTCCATTTAAAAGTGAATTTCAGTAAACCTTATTCTGTGTTCCAAGAAAACAATGACACCTTATGAGACAAAACAGACATTTTACAAGTTATGTGGAGACCACTCCCAGTTTTGAGAGCCAAAGGAGGAACATTATGAGAGAAAGTTGAGAATTAATAAAATATTAGTGCCAAAACTGATTTCCAAATTCATGTTTATGTTAATGCTCTGAATTTCAAATGAAAACACCTAACAGCACACATTCCTTTAAAAGTTCATAACCGCAAACACTGTCCATGCCAGTAAATAATAAATTATTAGTTTCATACAATACAGGCAGAATCTCAAGTTTCATATAAACATTAACCAATATTAATGTTTTTCTAACCTCCTCCTTCACTAACTCTCAAAATGAGTGGTACTGAGACTTGGAGGATAAAAATTATTTTTGAAATTTTATCAATCCCAATTGATAGAATATCTGATATTCATTCCTAAAACACGAAAAATGTCTTTCAAAACATAATGATCTACTTCCATACCATTTCCTCACAAAAAAATTATCTCACTTTGGGGAAGAGTAGTCTTGTGCAGAGCTTTCGGCTTGCTTACAGTCGTTGCAGAATTCACTTGTGGCATATCATTAGTGCGTTTACTGGGAGACAGGCGGTTTAATGCTGAGGTAGGACGGGTTGTATCTTGACTTGCATTTGATATCTTACGCTGCCTGCTAAGATCATTGAGAACACTAGGAGTAGTGCGAGATGCACTCCACAATGGTGTTGGGCCTGGTTCTGAAATATTTGTTTCAAATGTAATATTCTAAGGACACTTTTTAACATAATAAACAAAATACACTTATCATGAAATTAGAACAAGTTCAGGGAAAAAATCATTCAAAAACTCACCATCTTCAAGTTTTAAAAAACCATGATTCGAATCTTGATGTAATTGTTGATACTTAAGCATGACAAATTCTCCACACTCTTCACATCTTTCTGTTCGACTACCACAGTAATTCTCATGTTCTAAGAGTTCAAATGCCTCAACCTCAATATGACAAAATGCACAGCAAATAGAACGATGTGAGCAGTCTGATATCTGGAATGGAAGATGTTAGAAGATTATAGAAATAATAAATGGGGTAGAACCAAATTCATTTTATTTTATTTTACTTTTCTTCATTTTAACATTCACATACCTGATGTTCTGCAACGTTAATCTTTTCCATTTGCTGACCACAGTCAGGGCATGAAACAATGACATGGAAATTGGAATTGTGGGCTGCAAATTCCGAATGAGGTATGGGCTCATCGCACTTTTGGCAAAATGCTAATTTTCTCTGACAGTGTATGTGATGCATCATGAAATTCCCGGACGGAACTTCATGTTTGCTGAAAAAAAGTATTTCATCAATAATGCCACGACATTCTCAAAAAAATTTTAAAATGGGCAAATAATTGTTAGTACTTGACTAAAAACAATCGTATTATCTTAAAATAGCAAAAGAAAAATACCAACCAGTTTGAGCAAAACTTAACCTCTGGTTCATTCATCTTGCATACCAGATGATCTTGCTAATAGAGGTACAAGATATAAAATTAATACCACTTTTTACACAGTAGACGTGTTCACAATGGTCTGCTTGTTTTAAATAAAGGTGCATACCACGGCCAGAAGTGGTCAGAACGCAATCCAGTGAATCCACGTCTCCCCCGCGGCTCTCAGCTGACCCAGGGGGGAACACCCGATCTCGTTTCGTCCCCACTCTACCACGCTTTCGGATGATTGCTAGAGAAAATTGGTTATTATTCTGTTGTCTCGTGTCATCCAAACAAATAGAAAGAAATTAATCTCCTCCGGTGAACGACCTGTAAGTGACCAGTAAAAATATGTCCATTATTGTTTCCAATAAAATGTTAAATATTTGCGAAATCTACTTGCGACAAGCGCCACTTTTAAATCTATTAGCGGAAATTCCATAAGCATTTAAGACGGAATATCAGCACAGAGTCACAGATAAAGGCCTGAAATTTAATTCGTAATAAATAGTTCTTTTTGCCTTTAATCGCCTTCTGAGTCTCGGACAAAACTCCAAAAGTCGGTACAATGTTTAAAGCTCGTTTTTCATGCGTGTTCTTTTAATTTAATAATGAACCGTTTGAAATCGTATTAGTTAGCCTCAAGATCAAGCAAATACCAAATATTTCAAATCGAAAACATGTTGTTTTCGAAAGAAAAGTTTATTGAATTGACACCCATTTTTCTTTTCATTCAAATGCGACTTCAACTCATTCATTTAACAGTTTGGGTTCGCAATCTATATCGTTGTACCTATAATTGAGTCTAAATTATTGTGAATATTATTCGACCCACAAGTCAAGACATTTCCTAGCCGTTCTCTTGGGTACACCTATTAATAAGCAATCAATATAAGAGAGAGTTTCTCTCTTCTATCGCTAATTCAATTACAGGTTCACAATAAAAACAAGAATGGGGGAAAAGTCGCATTGAGATTTTCTCTAGTTCAGCGTTATTTTTGCATTCTCTGCGTCAGGCGTGTAAGACGTGTACCTTGTCCCGCATGGTCCTTGGAAGGTCGAAAATAAAACTAGTTCAGGCGAATGAGGACACATGGTACTTCGGTGACAGTCTATTTATTAGTCATTGGCGTTGCTATTTAAATTAAACAACTGTCAATATATATGTAAAGTAGAATAACACGTAAATTCTGTATATGACAAGTTTTACATTAATTTATAACTTTCGTGCTATTAAAATGGAAAGTGTCATATCTTCTGTACACGTACAATACGCCATGGAAAGACTACTAGTCCAATTTTTAAGACCCATTGCCACAAACCACGTACATGTGCTACTGCTAGTTTAGAAATAATTCATCGTGCCCGCGCTTTGCCACATCAGCTTTTTTACACTATCGCTGGACTGACACAAAAACTATTCATATTTTTAAAAAAACGTACATAACATGATTTAAAATTGTAATATTGAGGGATAAAAAAACTTTTCGAAATTTTAGAGGTTGTAATGAAAATTGTGCTAGTCCTACTTGTTACGTGCACTAAAAGAAGTGGTACAAATTGGTACTTTCTCTTATACGTTGGTTTCCTGTTCTCTTGAATCGATATTATAATTGTGGTTATACCTTTTACTGTCAATTGGCGCATAAAACACCTTCCAGTCATCTCGCGGTCCTTATCTTTCATCTGAGGACATTTACAGTCAAGAGCACCTTCGGGCTCCCCGAATGCTGAGTAGATGTATCTCGGCACTGTACCTTGACGTAATAAATGTTACATAATACATACTGTAACAAATATATACATATTTTACATAATAAATATTTTTCCCGTGCACGTTTTCTTGAGCCATCATTTCGCTAGATACGAGAGGAGAACGGGTTAGTTATTTCGACGACAAGACTCTAATATCAAATCTGTAGCTCCCTTTTCGGCACAAAATAGTTTTTTTATTATACGGAATACATGTCTGCTTATCAGATATTTTAACAATGTTCGCTGCAATCACGTATACATAATTCAACTAAAAGAGTAGGTGTAGGACTCAAGAAAACGTGAAGGCTTTTTAAACTTGGCCTTAGTCATCCTTGGCTTCGGCACGGTACTGTTATTGGTGTTGGGATCAAATTACCTATGTACACAATTTCCTGTCAGGTCAATAGATTATTCTTCTATACTACATATAAGGTGTGTATGTAGTACTAGGTATATGCCTTATAGTTCTACGTAGATACTAGGAATACGTATATTCGCACGTTTTCGAGAATGTAAAATATAGAAGCCTATCGTTTCGATAAAATATTATGTATTTTTAATTGCTCCGAATTCACCGGAACATCCGCGAAAACTACACATATCTTGAAAAGCTGTTCATTTCATCGTTTATAGATTTGAATTTCAAGAATTGATTTCATTGAGAACTTTTATGGGGTTTCATGAAAAGTACTCCAAAATTAAAAGTTTAATTTAGAATTTGCTAGGCTTTGTCAACGTAAATCAATTGGAAATTAATTTTTGGTAAAATCCTTTGTACGTTTTAGATGTTATGTGAAATGTTAATGTAGTTAGGTAAGTTGCAAATAATCAGTGTAGGGATTTTAATTTCAATTTACGTATGGGGGAGGCAGGTACCGTAAAAAGTTGCTTTTTCTTGTTGTTGTTAATTTCTGTCTGGCTTTGCGTTGGGGAACAACACAAACTATACAAGAAATTTAAAGGAAACATTTGAAGCGATTTTTGAGAACATATTTAAAATGTTCCAGGGGGAAAATCTCCCTAAATTATTTAATGTATTGAAATTCGACTAGTTTAACCAACTTAAAAAATAATTTATTAGTTCAAGTATAATAGTAAAATATTACATTATTTCAACTGATATAAATAATGTGATTGTGATGTTCCGGTCAGTGATGTTTCAAGTGATGATTCAGTGATGTTTCCGGTCAACTTCTCTGGTCGACAATCCCCTTAGTGTGGGGAATTGATTATTCGGGGAGGTAGTGTGTTCCTCCCCAGGGGATGCTGAGATCCGACGCCGACCTAAATGTCAATATGCGTGGGATTTCTCTCTCCAGGTATCTCCCCTTGATGGGCCCTGCCCCAGCCGGGGCAAGCTGTTAGCTCTCGACTGATTTTTTCACATGTGTAGTAGTGTAGTGCATGTACGTGGATGTGTATATGTGGGGAGGGAATAGATCAAGGAAGAAGAAAGAAAGGTCCATGGTGTGTTAAGGTACTCCGATTTTCGCCTGATATTGATTGGAGAAAACACGAATAACCATCAATCTGAGCAGCCAGAAGCTAGAATTCTCTCAAAATAGAGGTTGACCTAGGGTCAAAAATCTGACACCGTCGGGTTTTGAACCCCAGCAGCTCCCAGTCAGACACGAGCGTTTCACGAGATGGCTGAAGAGAAGGGTACAATGTATAATATTATTACGTATGATACAAATAGTAGGAGAAAGTATTGAATGTTGCAAGTTGGACCAGTTTATTTTGTGTGGTATGAAAAAAATTGACAATGAATATATTTTTGGATGAATCCTCTAGTGTAGAGAAGTATCCCCTAAGAGACCCGTATAAAACAGAGTCCATACAATATTTGTTTTGTCTGACTTAAATTATAAATTATTTTGTATTGTCGCAATTAGTATTTCTGCATTGAAGGAAGTTGTAGAAATTCGTACAGATAGTTTTTGTGTAAGTTTTGAATTTTTAATGGTCTTCTTTTGAAACTCTTATGAAATTGTCAGTGTACATTTAAATAACATTTTTATTACAGGTAATTAATACTGAAATAATAGGTAGATATCAGTCTGCTGTTGATGAAGGTTCACTGCCACGCATTTTCAATTTTATGAGATTAAAGGCCTGACAGAGTTATCTTTAAACTCAATGCTTATATCAACTCATACAATATCAATATCAACTCATTGACAGCGCTGACGCAGTGAAATCCTACCAGTACAAAGAAGAGACCTTAGCTACACGTGTTACAATAAAGATGTTTGCTTCTATTTTTATCTAGAAAAGAAGAAGATGGGGAAACTTTTTAACATGTTCACAATAGTCGTTCGGGACGTTTTTCAGAATGAAGCAATATATTCACATTTATAAAGGTCTGTTCTCACTTTTTGAATTTTCTTGACTTTGCGAAGCTCGGAAAATAGGGCAATATAGTCATCAATATGATATGATTGAATCTTTTAGATTACGAAGAAAATATTCAAAACTGATGTAATTTAATAAAATATTGAATTTTCGAAAAAAAATATTAATACGCAATTTTCAAATATTCAATTTGTTTATTGAAAGGGATTATACAATATTATTGAGGATAATCTTATTTTTTATTATTATTACGAGCTCATTACAATCCCTTAAGGGTAGGGCTTCCAGGTGTCCCTGGGCAGGGAAGTTCTTCAAGGGCTTGTGCCTGTACAGTTTGGTTAAGTATTTTTAATGATCTACGTCATATATACATATCAACAAGTGTAATAATCCACGTCAAATATATAGAAAAATATGTAGCAGCGCATGTAGAAATTTTGAAAATTCAGAACGAATGTACCTTATCCACATATTTGGAGAGAGTCATATTTTCAGAAAAAAGGGGGTTTTAATTTCAGGGACCTTCAAATTTTCCTTTGTCCTCCTTGTACTCATATCCGTACGTATACTAGAAAAAAAGCTTTTGAATACCATTTGATGAGATGAATGAATGTATTACTACGTTTATACGAAATTTACTTGACATTCTCATATAGACATCAATTAATTTAAGTTTAGATGTCGAGTTTCGATCGACATGTTCCACGACGAAAAACGAAAATTCTGTTTCGGTCTACCTTGGAGTCGTTAAGTTGACATGGTGCACTGAACTCATTTCCAATAGATTATGCAAAGAATAATAATGGGATTCCCTTCTACTGTCGAGTGTTAAACTCGAATGTGACGACTTTCGACTACTACGATCTGCAGTCGTACCATTCCTGCTAAATAAATGAGTTGGGTTGAGTGACGAAATTGGCTTTAAATAAGGAGGAAATAATTTTAAATCTCAAACTAGTAACCCATGATTTGCGAACATCGACTTTTCAGTTGAAATTAAAGTACTGTCTGAAATGGAGTTTGTGATACGATTCGTTCACGCGCGAGAATACATTTTTAAGATGTATTCGCATAAAATGTGTCGGTATTCTCCAACATATTCATGCGAGGACCGAAGGCCAGAATCTGGTCG